TAAAACCCTCCTGAACTCAAAGAGTTTGCTATGAAATTGTTCTAAAGATCATTTTCTAGATGCCTTTTGGCAATCATTTTATTGCTGACACAGAAACAATAAAAGCAATAAAAAATGTAACTTGATGTTTTTTGAAAGAAAAATAAGGAATACTTGGGGGAATAAACTCTTGCCAATTGAATAAGTTCAACATCTTGTCAACTCATGTAAGAAGCAATTTAATGTCCACAATAACATCAATCACAACTCTGTGCATTTCTTCTCTTTGTTCTTAAAAAATTCTTGTTTCCCAAACTCAAATTTACTCTGGTCCCTTGCAATTTGACTTCAGCTGCATTTTGAAATAAAATACTTGCTGGGATTTTTTTTTCAATCAACCTGTTACTTTGATTATTATTTCAAAGATTTCAGGGATTTATATGATCATCGCTTGAACATTTCGTGAGCTATGAGTCTTATACTTCCAGTTAAAAACATATCAATGATACATACATATAGACAAGTTAGACCAAAAAAATTTCTGAAATTTTCCAGGAAAACCGGTTGTGGAGATTTCGACGAAACTTCCACGACGTATACACGTACAGAAAAAGATTGATGGACTTTGGCCCCGTGTCCTCGGGAAACTTTTGAGACTGGGGCCACATGTGACGCAAAAGAATAATATAATAAGGCTCAATTCCCGTGTGACCGAAGCAGAAGGTTTTCCAGAGAATAAAAGGAAAACAAAAATTGACGAAACATAATTTTACAGACCAAATTCCTTTATCAGGATTCCATTAAAACACGTGTTTCATCAGTAGATAGCATATGTTCTTCCAAAGGCACGGGGTATCCGGAATTCCTCATTCGTCAACTGAAGCTTGCTCGAGTAGAGCGACGAGTGACTTACCGTAATTAATTAATCAGTTCGAGTTTATTTGTGTTCTATTACGGATACGAAAAGAAAATCAAGAATTTGNTAGTAAATGGCGTCGACCTCTGCTCGGAAATTAATGAGAGACCTGGATTCCCTTGCAACCTTCCTCCAGCATTTCTTTGGACTCATCATAAGTGTCCCACTTATTCTTTGATGGATACATGCGCTGGTTGAAATGTGAAAAACCGAGGAAATATCAAAGCTCGAGAATAATGAGCGTGCCTCTTTTTCTTTTTTTTTTGCTGAGGAGTATGAAAACGAGTCCAACAGTAGGAGCAAATCTCACTCCAAGTGGAGAAATGCGGCTGCATTTTGCAAGAGTTGCTCTCTTTCTTTTTTTTGGCACAATAAAGCACAAGCCGGTCGTGAGTGTATCTCTCATGGAATTGCAAGCTGTACAGCTAATATACATACACTCAGATGAACTATACTGTATAGAAAGGCTTTCCAGCTATAATGAATCATGCATCGGCCAAGAGACCCACTGACTTTCATCCGTGTGTGCACAAAAATAAATCTTTCAATTGCTGGTAGTTTTCCTTGAAATTTGGATTCAGTTCACAGAGAATGCACCTTTTCTCGAAAGAAAAAAAAAATGTAGCGAGCACTATAATAGAACACCCGACGGAATTTGTTCAACAAGTGAGCGAATTCTTATTCTCTTCCCTCGAGAAACCATAATATGTTGTAAAAAATAAATAAATAAACAATTCCTCCCACAGGTAGTTTTTCAGTCCTTTGCGCCTCGAAGAAAATAGAAAACTCTCTTATTTAAAAAAAAAATGGCATCAAAGTTCAGCTCTTTCATGGCAAAAAGGATGGTTCTTAAGCACTGCAATCCATTTTCTTTAAATGACTTCATAAAAAGTGAATAATTATTCTTGATTTGCTGGAATGTGTCTAATGCTGGATATATGATGAGAAGGGTTGACAATTTTGTGAATACTGTTTGCTGATGATGAGTGGCAATTTAAACTGTGCATCAATCAATCAAGTTCAGCTCAGATTTAAATAGAGCAGAAACTCAATAACTCAAAAATTTTTAACTTATACCTCCTTGTTATACATTACATTATATCTATTTTTTTCAAGACTTTCTCCAAGTCTCATTAAAATCAATGCATTAAAACCCTCCTGAACTCAAAGAGTTTGCTATGAAATTGTTCTAAAGATAATTTTCTAGATGCCTTTTGGCAATCATTTTATTGCTGACACAGAAACAATAAAAAATGTAACTTGATGTTTTTTGAAAGAAAAATAAGGAATACTTGGGGGAATAAACTCTTGCCAATTGAATAAGTTCAACATCTTGTCAACTCATGTAAGAAGCAATTTAATGCCCACAATAACATCAATCACCACTCTGTGCATTTCCTCTCTTTTTTCTTAAAAAATTGTTTCCCAAACTCAAATTTACTCTGGTCCCTTGAACTTTGACTTCAGCTGCATTCTGAAATGAAATACTTGCTGGGATTTTTTTTAATCAACCTGTTACTTTGATTATTATTTCAAAGATTTCAGGGATTTATATGATCATCGCTTGAACATTTCGTGAGCTACTGTATGAGTCTTATACTTCCAGTTAAAAACATATCAATGATACATACATATTGACAAGTTAGACAAAAAAATTCCTGAAATTTTCCAGGAAAACCGGTTGTGGAGATTTCGACGAAACTTCCACGACGTATACACGTACAGAAAAAGATTGATGGACTTTGGCCCCGTGTCCTCGGGAAACTTTTGAGACTGGGGCCACATGTGACGCAAAAGAATAATATAATAAGGCTCAATTCCCGTGTGACAGAAGCAGAAGGTTTTCCAGAGAATAAAAGGAAAACAAAAATTGACGAAACATAATTTTACAGACCAAATTCCTTTATCAGGATTCCATTAAAACACGTGTTTCATCAGTAGATAGCATATGTTCTTCCAAAGGCACGGGGTATCCGGAATTCCTCATTCGTCAACTGAAGCTTGCTCGAGTAGAGCGACGAGTGACTTACCGTAATTAATTAATCAGTTCGAGTTTATTTGTGTTCTATTACGGATACGAAAAGAAAATCAAGAATTTGCAACTAATAATAAGACTTTCCATGTTTATGGTTTGTTTGTTTTTTTCTCGACTTTCTGCATAGACAGAACCAGCATCAGCAGCCGCCATGAAGACAACCCTTGCCCTCTTTGCTCTCACCGCTCTGGTCGCCGTGGCATCAGGTTAGAATTTTATCATTTTTGAGACGCGACATCTGTACCAATTTATCGTGTAATGCTGAAAAGGCGTGCGGAACCCGACGAGCAAGGTGGTGTTCGACGCCCTGCTTCGCAACAAGCTTCCCAAGACCACGAAGAGCCCGTTGGCTGACGGCCGAATCAACGGCGGCGAAACGGCCGCCAATGGTCAGTTCCCGTGGCAGGCCAGTATGCAGTACATCTTCTACGGACACATTTGCGGAGCTTCCATCATCTCCGAGAACTGGATGGTCACAGCTGCCCACTGCGTCGAGGCCGTCGGCGAAGACCCAGATTACGTCACCGTGAGTACATGCAGTACTGTACTTCCATGAGCAGTATTTGACATTCCCTTTTTGTATCATGTTCCGAGAGATCGTCGGAGAATTTATACATATTTCAGTGCAGCGACATCTGCCTGAAAAATAGAAAGTGACCATGGCTCGTAGGTCCTTTTAGAAGATCTAGGTGCCACACAATCTCACGTTTGCAATCTTACCTTTTGTAGATGCTGGTCGGAACTAATAGACTAAATGGAGGTGGACAGGACGTCGAAGTCAGGGAAATTTACAAGCATGAAGACTATGACAAGTGAGTCGACGAAATGAGCTGAAACAAAAGTCGTTTGTTGAAAAAGTGAATCAATAGATACGTGAGGGTGAATCGGAATTTCAGTTTTTCACCCATCGTAAGCCACAGGATAATTCTTTTCATTCTCATCAACCGGCAATTGTAAGCTATAATGCCACCACGCGCAATTTATTCGCAGCACCAAGATCATCAACGACATTGCCTTGCTTGAACTAGCCCGACCCCTCACCTTCACCGACAACATCCAGCCCATCACGATCGGAGTCGGCAGGACTCCCGTTCAAGAAGAAAGTGAGTGCAAAGAAGGAGAAAAACGTCCAACGCAGTTTCTAACATTTCTCGAACTTGAAATTTGGAAATACTGTATAAGATGGCTGCGTGATCTCTGGCTGGGGCGCGTTGGACGCTAACGGCTTCGTGTACCCGGATGACCTGCAATTCCTGGACGTCACCTTCTACGACGACGCCAAGTGCGCCGAAATGTGGGCCGAGGACCCCGAAGCCTGGTACACCAACGAAGTCCACTTGTGCGCTGGCACAGACAGCGGCGCCAACGCCTGCTTCGTAAGACAGTTTCCTCCAGTGTACTTCCAAACCTGGCCTACGCTTGTGTTTTGGAGAAGACGACCCAAATTTCGAATCGAATCGCTGACATTTCTTTACCATTTCAGGGCGACTCTGGCGGACCAATTGTGTGCCGCACAGAAGAGGACGGAAACTCGTACCTGTTTGGCGCCACGTCCTTCGGGGGCAACCAGTGCGGACTCCCACAGTGGCCCGACGTCTGGGCCGAGGTTGCCTACTTCATCGACTGGATCGAAGAGAAGACCGGACCTCTGCCCCGCCCTGAATAAAACCACAACACACTGGTCAAGACCAAATAATTGCATTCCCAAACCAACAAAGCGAATGCGTCTCTTTTCTTTTTCTTCGTCGATGGTTCACCATCAGAAAGCAATACAGTACTTTACTTTCCTCACAGTACAACATTTTTTTCTCACAAGGTATCCTCGTGAGAGGATTCTCCACTAAAAAATTTAAAAAACTGTCCTTCGCTACAAAAAATGAACCATTAACTTCGATTCGAAAAATGAGCGTCACAAAAATTTTCCTAAAATCGGGGTGGCAAGATATAATTTAAATTATCTCAGCCCTGAACAGCGCCAACGAACTAAACTTTCTCCGATTCCATTGAACAAACTTTAAATTCCAATAAAACTGACCTGGCATTATCCGGGAGAAGAAAACACGGAAAAACTAAATCTTTCAAAAAATGTGCATTTTCAAAATGGAAATATATATATACACGAGAACGTAAGGCAGTATTTGCAGTGAGATTAACACGGAATAACGAAAGGGCACGTAAATTTTTATGTAAAATATTAGAAAATCGACACGTTCGGGAAAGATACTCCCGCAGAAGGAGGGGCATTAGCCAACATGGCAGCAACACCAGTAAAAAAAAATAGAAAGAGAAGACGAGAAAAACTGGACGTAAAACTGTCGTCAATTATTGTCAGTCGAGTCCGCTTCAGTATCTTCGTCAGCCTCCAACTGCGACTCCTGCCCCTCACTCCCCTGATTCATCTTGCTCTCATCGTCGTCAGCACCCACGTAATCTAGTTTGATTTCGCCTTCGACATCGGGCTTGAACGAGACCTGATGACCCTCCTTGGAGCCCACCAAGTCCATCAACTCCTTCACCAGACTGAACACGGGTCTCTGCGGCTCCACTTGAGCGTCGGGATTGAGCACATGATCATCCTCCTGGATCCGCTGCTGTTGGTTCTCTTGCACCGCGAAAGAAATGACTGGTAGCCCAGACAAGTCCTCCATGTCCTTGGACCCGATCTCACTCAGTCTGACCTTCACATACACCACGTCATTCCTCTCCCCCGTCGGTTCTTCCGTCTCTGACGTCAGTTTCTTCGTGTCGTCAGAAGACTGACGCGGGACTCGAAACGACAAAGTGCCAGTGATTTCCCGCTTGGCCACCAAAGACGACTCCACAGCGTCCCTGAGACACCCATTCACGAGCTCCACATTGGCTATGGCTCTAAGCGTTGTGACGGCATCAGAAAGATGCACAGGACTGTCGTACAAACGCTCCGATGCCACAGATCTTTCAGGAGATGACGGACAGTCCGCGGCGACGGCTTCCGCCGCCGTCGTAGGCTCAGCAGCATCGCAGACTTCCACACACTCAACAACATTGGTCGCCTTTTCTTGTGCCGAACTCACGGGATCCGCGTAGCTGACCTCAGAGTCGTCCACAGACGCCAGTTCGCCTCCAACTTGCTGCTTCTTGGAAAAAGCCACAGAATTGCTGATGGCGCTCAGGACGTGGATGGCTGATGTGCACAAGCGCTCTAGAACAGGCACCGGAGTGCTCTTCATCACCTCATCCTCGAAAGACAGCTGGCCCTGGTCCAGCGCAGGACACGTGCAACATCTACACAGCACACCCGATTCCTCCAGCTTACCAATGATTTTCGTTGCGTACCTGCGAAAAAAATTTAATGAATATTAATCCATTCGACACAAAAACACAAAAAATGGAGAACTAAAAAATATCATGCGTTAATTGATGGGTTCAATACTTGACTCTTAATTGAAGTATAGTATGCAGAAAATTTCAATCTCAACTTGCTTTCAACAATTTTTGAAGCTAGCAAACGGCAGAACCTCATCTTTCGTTACTGCTTTTTACTTTAAAAAATATTACGACGTTTAAACGTATAATTGCTGGATTTTGTGCAAGTTTCGAAATTTGAGCCGCCCCAGAGTTCTAGAGCCGCCAAATTATCTCCTGGAAGCGTACAATACTTGGAAATACGAATTTTGCTCTTCTTCCGTGGCATTTGGCGAAGAGATGATCTAATTCGCGGTACCTGATCGCCTTTTCTGCCTTGAAGATCTTCTGAACGGCATCGTCGGGCAAAGACTCAATCTTGCAGTTGTGCGCGCGGGCAGCCTCGGGTTTGATGGCCTCCTGCAAATGGCTACCGCCGAGCTGAGCCATTTCCTGTAGCTTGAAACTCAATTGCTTGCTGACAGCTTGCACGAATTCCAGCATGTCGATTTCCTCGTGATTGGAAATGATCTGCGTGAAAAACGGGCCCAAAATGTTGAGTACGACGTCGAGAGAGGCCTTGGCCAGATGCACGCTCTCCTCGTAGTTGGCAGATTCCGACGAAATACAGTCCATGGCGGCGTTGGTGAGCACGACCAGGCGCCTGATGGACCCATTAATCATCTCCAGGGACTTCCAGAGAACCCGTTCCTGAACAGGCGAGTACTTGTGCAACTCTTCAGACATATTGTTCGTGAGGTTCTCCAAAATGGACAAGAAGTTCATCAGCACCTCCGCAATGCCGCTCCACATGTCCTTGAGGTTGATGCCAAGGTTCTCCAAGTTCTTGTCCATATTCTGTGACGAGGTCTGGAGGGCCAGGAGTCCATCCAAAATGACCCCAGGCTCCTTGCTCGACAACTGCGGCTGCAGCAACGTGGCCGCCACATTCCCGAGCTTCTGCAGCGGCGGCGACGGCCGCCGTTTCGAAGCAAACCGCGAGTGTTCACACTCGTATCCCCGGCTTCCGAGGTTCACGTTAACTTGAATCGACGGCAAGAGCTTCTGCAGGCCGCCGTCATCCGGCATATCCTCTTGAAACGAGCAGTGCATCACTCGCTCAGTATCCACGTCATTCAAGACTTCCTCGCCCGAAGTGTGCGACTGGCGGTCAGACGATCCCGTAGACCTGGTGAAATACGACGCCCCCGGAATCCTGTGGGCAATGGACCTCATCAGGCTGGACGCCTTGTGGCGCCACGGAAAGAGTCGAGAGCAGCTGGACTCCGCGTGCAGGGCAGACAAGGCGGCGTCGTCCAGGCTCTTTTGAACAACGGCGTCATTGAATCTCCGCATTTTCGGTTTCGAAGTCAATGGATTCACGTCAGCGTCCAATTGATGAGACGCTCCTGAAAATTCGATCCAACAACACTTTCTTCACAACATATATCATGAAGAGGCTTTTTTCCATAGTCCGCAAATCAATTTCAAATATCGTCAGATGCAGCCTTCTCCGCATTCCCACATTCATTCATTCTTTTTACTGTCCTTGCATTGGAATTTAGTACGGTAATAGACATGGAGAAGAACTTCATCCAGAAATTAGCACGATAAAACGATAGAACAGCAAGTGATAGAGTCATGCATAATATAAGAATAGTCGCTGCTGTTCTGTGAATGCGAAAATAGATTCGAATTCCATGGTAGTCCAACAAAATTCCACCATTTGCTTAGAGAATGGGATAAAATCCCGAATTCCGAGCTACATGACTAGTGCCAAACCATTCAGCACCTTCCATTTGACATTGTAACCCAAGGAAGCAAATGATTCAGAAAGAAGTAACACTTTTAACTCTGGATACTCTTCATAGAGGGACAACATTTTTAAAACTTGTTCTACGCACGTACCAGCCTTATCCCTTTCTCCGTGATTCTGCTTTTGCAGCTGCATCAAATCCTCCTCGTTCAAATCCTGCAAACTGCGATTCATGCTCTCATTCATCAGACCCCAGATTCCTTGCTTGTCCAAAACTGCCCTGATTCTCTCCCTGATAGTATCAATAGACTGCTGCGTTTGATTAGCGATGAACTTTGATCTGTGTCGAAACTGGCGCCGTTTCTGCTCTTCTGAAAAGTCGGCACCCTGAGACAGCTCGAGCGGACTCTGCAAGTGAGAATCGGTGAGGGACGAGTGGCTGTCAGCAGACATCCGGTGGGACAGATCCGGAAACGACGGCGACACGTCGGCATCGTGGAGGGCATTGCGAAAGAGAAAGCTAGAGCCCGGAACCCGGGTTCGCGAAAATTTGGCACGTTTCCGCAACAACGCAGTTTTATCCAAGCCAGGGACTCGGAATTGTTCCTTCGGGTCCTCAGCAGCCTGCTCATTTTCCCCAGACGTCCTCGGCCTCTTGGAATTTTTTCTCCTGCTCGTCAAGAGAAAAGTTCTGATTGGAAAATTGGCGAGGTCTGAGTCAGCCCAAGGCATACTTGGCGCGATTACTCGATTCAGCGAAACTGTCGCTCTGCTGCGGGCCCTTGTCGAGGACACCCGCACTGTGCGACAAGCTCGCCTTGGCAGTTCTCATAACTTCAGAGATGCCACTGTCGACAGTGTCCACGACGTCATGGACCCCCTTCTGAGCCATTGTCATGATCTCTCCCATGCCTGTCTGGGCCATTTGAACAACTTCTATCACTCCACCTGAAACACATACAAAGGACCCTTGGTTAACAATCTGCTTGGATAACAACCTTTTGGATCAGAGGAAAAACTCCCTCAGTTAACGAACCAAAATTTGGTCAAGAAAATTTTTCATGGGAAAAATCAAAATTTGATTTCAAGGTTGAGATTTATGGAAAGTGCAAAATTCACACATGCGAAGATGTTAAGATTCATACCTTCAGACATCTACCCATGTTTTCAGCTAAATTATTCATGTACGCTTTTCTGTTACAGAATTATATGTTTCTCAGTGCTTGGTTTTTCAATTTCAATAGTTGTTCAATTACAGTATTAGAAAGGGGCACCCTAGATAACGTGCCCCTGTACAACGTGCCGCCCCGCCCCCTGCGCTAGGCAGTCCGCCTCCCTCTCTTTCTTCGGCATGCACCCAGTCTTTCCTTGGGTGACTTGCTGGCAGGCGGGTGCCTTGCTGGTTTTTCCTTGCATGAAAATATACATATGCATTGAAATATTTAAAGCATTAAAATATACCTAGGTTTAACTGACCTAACCTAACCTAACCAATCCTAACCTAATTTAACCTAACCTAACCTAACCTAATTTAACCTAACCTAATTTAACCTAACCTAACTTAACCTAACCTAATTTAAATACTTTAATGCTATAAATATTTTAATGCATATATATTTTTAAATATGTATATTTTAATGAAAGGTCTATTTTAAGGAAAGGTCTATTTGATCTTTACTTCCAGCATTAAAAAAATTACAATTAATTTTCACCTGACATGTTGCCTACAGTGTTAGTTTCTCTAGATGTAAATATTTTTCATCTTTGTTTTCATCATATACCTTCATCATATATATTTTGTGATACCTCCATACAACACTAAAATGATGCAGCAAAAACTTATTCTGATTACGGTTGATGGTCTTTAATTTTTAATATTCCATGTTCAATTGCCTTTCGGACTCAAGCAACGGATTAATTTCTTCCAAATTGAAGTCCATGGGAGAATCAAATTCAGTCAACAAACTTTCATCCAGAACCAATGAAGTTCATCAACCAAGGGTCCACTGCACAAGGTATACAGTACTGTACACAAAGGCATTCAAAAAAGAGGAAAAGCCAAACCTTGAGCCATGTTAACAACTTCTTCCACCCCGGTGTTCGCCATGTCAACCAGATCGTCGACCATTCCATACGCTCTGTTGGCAACCTCGTGCATGCCAGCATCCATCACTTCCATGACAGCCAAAATGTCCGCCTTGTTGAGTACTGGCTAAAAAGGATAAAAAGTCTCCGAATCAAGAGCCAAATCAATTCAAAATCCTCAAGTCATTATATTATGAACGCTCGCAGAAGATTACCCTGGTCGAGGTCAACTTCGGTTCAGGTGATGCACTACGATGAATCCGCCCCTTCTTGAACGTTCCACCGGCCGGATTGTCTCTAGCTGAAAACCAAGGCCGTTTTCTTGACAATCGGTGAGACGCTCTGCGAAGTGCATCCAACGTTTCAACCCTGGTGAACAACGCAATTGGGAGCACTGCGCCTTTCTTTAATTTCCGTGGGTACTGATCAATCTCAAAAGGAAATCTCTAACTGAACAGGGGGTTTTCGGCTTCACACAAGGGGTCGAGGAACAAATTTCCACTCTTCAAAAATTCATCAGCATTAATCCAACATTTCGGGTTGTCCCTATGAGTCGACTTCACCAGAAGTTACAGAATACAGTACTGCGAGTAACAATTACGGGGTGGGACATTTCTGATGAGCCAAGTACTGAATCCTCCACTAAAAATGATTTTGCGAAATACTGTACATGATTTTCCTGTCAACTACTGAATTTCGCTCAGAAATTGACTAAACCCTGCATTTTTTTTTTTCAAAATGCAGCTGTCCGAGTACATGCCTGACAAATTCAGCATGATCAACGCCTTGTTCAGGGGCCTCATCAACAACCCCCTTAGCATGAGTGTCTGTCTTGTGCTCCAACTGATTGATGGTCCAAGTGAGTAAATTCTGCAAAGACTTCATCTCCTTAACACATTCCTGATCAGTCTGGGCTCCCTGAAGCATCCGCATCGCATTTCCGTAATCAGTAGCTTCGTTGTTCACTTCACCAACACCTGCTGGGACAGCATCATCCAGCCTACAGCCGTCGCAGTCTGTTCCAGAAGCGGAAGACACAGCTTCTGCATCATCCATTCGTTGCTCCTCCAGCTGTTGCTTCTGAGCGGAGAAAGACTGATGAAAATTTTCCCCGCGCCATCTTACAAGCCTTCAAAAGTTGAAACTCACTTCAACAGGCTCCGAAGCTGGTTCAGCAACATTCTCTTCGGACATGGCTAAAACTGGCTAAAAAGAGGACATAAACTACTCTTCAATCAAAATTTAGCTATTCAAGCCGAATGCCTACGGTGACTCATCACCAGGAGACACGGCCTCGGAAATTTCAGTAAATCTAGTAGTTGTAGTGAGAGAAAAAGCGAAAGCGCGGAAAACGCGACACCGTGACTAACGAAAGACCCATCAAAGAAATCGGAAAGGAAAAGAAAAATCGGCTTCCCAGAAAAAAGGCAGGATCAACCTTCAACATAATGAAAGAACGGGATTCCAGGAAAGAAATGTTCATGGCTTCTAGTGGAAATGGCGTATATTTCCACCAACAGAAGTTCACATATCGCTCAGGAATGAAGCTTCCACGGACTCGAATGGGTGCAGGTTCCTTCCAAACCTGCCGAAGAGTTCAGCAAACACGTTAGAAGTTTAGAATGAATGAATAATCAACTTTTTTTTTTCAACGCCACGACGAGCAACTCACAATTTAAAGGCGGATACAATGTCATCGACTTTCGCTGAATGACACACAGCAGCACATAACGACTTGGTCGGATCTAAAACCGGCGTAACGTATTTCCTCCCAGCGGAAACAACTTCTTCCTCATCCAGCTTCCAAATTCGATCCATCAGTGTCCTACAAGTCCCATCATGTTCAATTCGTGACTCAGACACAATACAATAACATTCTTTGAATAAATTACAGTACCTGGTGAAGTCGACTGGAATTCCTCGGAAGCCGGACATGAGTGACAGCTGCACCAAGTCCGCCACAGACTCTTCATTGCTGACCAGTCCATACATTGTAGACGACTTGGCTGCCTCGAATAAATCCTCTTCCAACTCAAATCCTTCGGTAACGTGCTCTTTCTGCAAGATTTTGAAAAATAAATAAACTCGTAAATCCATATACACCGATGCAGTCATGCATGCACTGGAATACAATTCTAGAGAATAACTCACGATGATCTCACTGGCAACTCGGAAAGCGTCGACAGGTTGTGCAGCCATTCCAAGAATCAAGGAGAGCATTCCATTCGACGTATTCAGTGACAACGAATAGACATACGACAGCCCTTGTCCTCTGACTCCTTTCCACAATGGACCCTACACCAAGCACAAGATGAAAAAACAAAATCATCGAAACTTTCCCAGAACGCAAAAAAAAGGAGACATACTTCAGCTTGATTCAAATACTCAAGGAACACCATCAATGCCGGGAAGTCCGGATGCAGCATCGACTGCACCTCCGTCGGGATCGTCTGGTAGATGTACGCAGACTCCACTGAACCCATGCCCACAATGCAGCCGGTCTTGGAATCACATTCCGATGAGCCCGCTGCCAATCTGATCGACGTCCTCGCCAACAACGCTACATCCGGCACCATGACAAGACTGAGGGAGAGAGAAACAAAAGCACATAAAAATAGTGCCTCTACAGCTCTTCCAATCAACTTGCAGCAACTCACGGCTTTGTGAAATCCATTGGTTCGTCGACAACAGCCTTCTTCTTCAGTGACTCCAACATGATATCAACCCACGGCTGCTCCAGACTTCCGACTCCTCCCTGCTTCTCGTGCAATCGCTCCAAGTCGGTGGCCATGTACAAAATCATGGAATTCGCACTCCCCACGAAAAATTCTCGCAACTTTATCAGGCTTTGTATGACTGGCAAATCATCTGCTTTCGGGTTCGACGGCAAAGCCTCACTCAAATCCCGAGATATCTGATTCAACACTTTCTGCTGGCGGAGCAAGCTCACTGCCCATGGATTCGACCCTGAAATATAAATGCGATTCTGATGCAGGACAAGAATAACTTTAAAAAAAATTACACCGAACTTCAGCAGTTACAAAGGTGAAGAGACTAAGTTTTCGGAGCGTTAAAATTCATTTTACAACTTTTTTGCAACAATTTTCAGCCTCGGCAGAATGATTCAATTTTTTATATAAAGAAAAAGCGGAGGACTGCAATCTTTCCAACAAACCTTTGACGTATTGCATGTCCGCGACAAGAGCTTTAGCAATGGTTCCTCCCTTGAGCTTCTTCTCATTGACGCTTTGAGCAATTTTCGAAGCAGCCACCTGGACTCGGTCAGGTTGCACATGGGTGAAAAACAGCAAGTCTCGCAACCAACGAATTCCTTCCTTGTACTTCCCAATCTCCACCTAAGAAGCAAACGCATCAATACAGATTCGGAAAAATGACACGATGAACACAGACGAAAAAAAAAACCTTTGCGAAGAACATGACGTAGTTGGCGAAAATCCCCGCGGAAAACGAGCCTCCCGCACTCAGGCCCAAATGGGCGCCCACTCCTTCAGTGTCCGTTTCAATCTGCTTCACCACGATCTCGTATGGTACCAAAGTAGAGCCGTCGGGCTGCAACACAATCGGTCTGTCACTCGAATCTCGCACCCCGTGCCACTCAAACCCTGGGGGCAATAGCAATGCTGATTCCCCGATCAATGCGAGATAAAGCAGCAGGTACAGCCTCAATCCTGGATCCAAATTCGTAGTGTCCAGGGCCATCCTAATCTGTCAAAACAAGCAAATATTTCTGCGTCTTCGCTGCTTTCAGCCAAGACGGCAATTTTCTTCTCCGACTCCTGCATCAACTTACTCTGACAAAATTCGAATTGACATCGTCAACTCGCATTCGAATCGGAATCTTGGACAAGTCGAAATGCGGAGCGGCAGAGTTGATCACTTTGCTTTCCTTGTTCAGGACATAGTTGGAGTACAGTTTTATCGACAGGAAATTCAAGTTCTCCATGTTCGGGATCGGCACCGACGTCATCATATCATCCTCGGGTTCCACCTACACACACAAAAGAAAGTTTTTGTTGTTGTTGTCAACTGCTGAAATGAACTGCTGCACATCACCTCATTCGCTTCAACGGCCTGGTCTAGAGTCTCCTTCTTCTGCTTCAAACCTTCGGGTCCCAGTGTTCGAACGCGTTCTTCCACCCGTGCTTCCTCCTCAGCAGCCAGTTTGGCTTTCAGCTCTTTGCAGGGCCTGGCTCTGATCGTAACGTGGGGTTTGGCCTCGTCGAAATACTCCTTCAAGATTTTGATCCAAAAAGCCGCATTCTTCCCGAGTAAAACATCCATGTACTTGTCGGAGTTCAGCATGAACGTGAGCTGCAAAGAGTAAATTAGACATGTTTTCGTTGGTCCGAATAATTTTGGCGGATGTTTCAAGATATCCCGTGATACTTACATCGTCAGCACTGTCACCATACGTGGCAAATGTGATCGCGTCATCGCTGACAGCACTATGAGGATCGCTTTCCAACGCTGACCAGCACTCGAAAACTTTCTTCCTAATGATGGTTTGGACACGGTTCATGTCCAACGTGGCCTCCGTCAATCCCTTCAAAACTGCCCAAAATTTCTCCTTGATCACACCCAATTTATCTGCAGGAACGTTTTCGAATGTGAAGAACACAGCTGTCACTTGGTTGTCCATAATGTAATGAGACACCTTTCAGAGATAAACGACATACAAAAAGTCAAGCGAGACCAAAAAACGACAATAACTCGACAACTCACGCTACTGGCGAGTGGTTCCGGGATTTCCACGAACATCTTCCTCATCGGGCTGATTGCAGTGTCGATCATATAATCTAGAATTATGTCCAGCTCACACAACCTTAAGAGAGTAATAAATAAAACTCAATCAAAATTTTAATTTTTTGTTGGCAATTTAAAAAAAAAAAAAAAAAACAATTTCTCCCACCTGCGCAAGTCCATGACAGCTGGACCGCGGAAAGCGATTTCCACAAGTCCGTGCTTGAGTTCATCGGCAGGATACAAAATTTCCGTGTCCACACTCTCGGAAAGAGGCTCCAATGGTTCATTCCACGGTCTCACATACGGCTCCGGATGAGGTCCCTACATCCACAAATGAAGATCTTTTGATCTCGTTTTTCATCGATTGACTAAACACAATGGACAAACCTTCTTTATTATCTTCTGCTCAATCGGGTCCAACGCTTTCAGAATTTCCACGGGTTCTACTTTACCAGTAACAATCACAACCAAATTTTCTGGCCTGTAGAACCGCTTGTGGTAGGCTTTCACCTTGGAGAGGGAGGAAAAAATTACTGAACTGTACTTTAAGGACTCCTCCAGCGTTTGAAACAGTACTTTTCGAGTCAAGTACTCTACAGCACAACAGCCCAAACTAGTCGTGACTTGAAACATGAAATGTTCCATTTCAATTTACGAGGAAGCAACGATTGGAGATTTGAATGCAGTACTGAACTGTATATTGAATGAATTCTCACGTCAACTGAAAAATTGAAGTTCGTGTTCGTTTTCAAGTTGCGACCTTTTGCAATACGAGTGCGTCTAACAAATGTTCTTGAAAAATAAATTGAGACTGCATGCATTGAGTTGAAAATTATTACGGTATTGATATAAGAGAAAACAATTTTTTTCACGAAAAAAAAAAAAATCGCCATCGTTGACATAATTTACAGAAAATTTTTCCGAAAGTCACCGGGGCAGCTTTCTGCTCTTCAATCAAAAGATGAACGGACCACCTCAGATTTTCTGGGGTACCGCTGCTTTCTTTTCAGAATTATTAAAATATACATGGCATCAATTTCAAGGGTTTCCGCTATTAATTGGTTATCGCTTCCACCATTTCAATTAATAGCCGCCACTTGGAATGAGTATAGGGTATGTGGCGGCAGTCAAAGCGGCTGTTGATGAAACTGGCGGTACCTGTAGGCAACGCTTGGGTTTATTGCCTTGCAGATTTCAAAAATTCTGAAGGAGAAGCCGGGCTGCACCTATAAATCTGCGGGATGGGCGCCTCATCCTTCAAGTAAAAAGCAGAAAGCTGATACGTTGACTTATGCGAAAATTCGCTGTAAAATATGTCGAACAGGGCTGATTTTTTCTTCTTTTGCCTAAGAACTTTTTTCGTGTGTGAACAACTACTGTTTTTCAGCTCAATCAGACAGGTGCAGTTTCGATCTTTATCTCGAGAACTTTTGTTACACCCCTCTTAAATATCCTCAAAAAGTGGTTCGAGAAACCCCCCCCACTCAGGACTCACTTGTTCATTGTTGGTCATCCGTAGATCTTCCATGAGCCCACCTTGATCATAGCGGTAATTACTGTTGGGATACAACAACTCCATACTCTTACGAAACGCCTTGCATTTGCAAGTGTTTTCCGACGTCTGCAGCTCACTATACACGACGCCTCCGTCTTTCCCTTCACCCGTGACATGATACACTTCTGTTGTGTACGCAGCGTCCTAAAAACGAAATTGAGCAAATGACGCACTCGGCAACAGTTTCTGGCAATGATAAAACAAAAAATTACCTTCAATGTGGGATATAAGACATGATCCATATAAATGGGCAAAATATTGCAAAATCCCTCGCCTCCAACAGTCTTGACGGTGTAAACTGTCGAGTCCATTGCTAAAAAAGGAGAAAAAAAAACAGTAGAATCTTGATACTGTACAACGAATTTGAATCAATGATTAAAACGAAGTCGTTTTTCAGGTCCGTGTCCGAAAGGAACACCATTATTCAAATCGCTGAACATTGAAATTATCTTCATAACGAAGCTTTTTCCAGGTCCCAACAGCTTAGTCGAATCGATTATTCCACTATACTGTACATCCCTTTTGGAACAACAACGGCTTCGAATCGATATTAGACTCACCCGTCCAAGCATTTGTTCCGTTTGCAAGACAACGATTCGCTAGCAGATCCAGGACACCCTTAAATGGATACTCTTCGCTGCCAAGAAAAACCAAGTGTTCTAGCGTATGAGGCAGACCATCACTGGCAGTCGGTTCCGTCGCTGTTGGAAGGAGGAATAAAGGTCATGATTCACATGAAGGGAAAAATAAACAAAAAAATTAATCATCAACCCACGGACTAGAAGATAACCGTTGACCAGAGGTCCGTCCACTTGCAGCACAGCGACCCTCAACTTCGTCGCAGTGCTTTCGTAAACGACAACCGGGAACTTTCCATCTATGTCTGTCACAATTTTCGGCTCGAAATTCCCATACGGCAAGAAGTCGTTGGATTTTGCCATTTTATTCACGCCTGTCGAAATCAAATTAAGAACCACTCTTGTCAAAGCTCACAATGCAATCTTAATAAAAAAATTCGAGAAATTGCACAATGCTGATATTCGTTTCATTTCCACATCACAACGCATCAACCACAACGACATTCACGTGAGATCAACTGGTGTACAATGAAAGAGCTCTGGCCAACGAACACAAACCTTTGCTTTCTGAACAAATTTTGCGCGATAGACTCGATGCCATTCCGCTGCTACAGTACTTACCTTCGACAGGAGTTTTTCCTGCATCCATGAGAGCACAGAATCAGAAAAATCTTTTATATCTGCGAAGCTGAAGCGAGTTTATAAACGCGGAATGAGGGATTCCTATAGACCCTTTTGAAAAGTATACCATACGCGGGTATCGAAGACTTGTGCGAATCAAGCGCCGAGCAGAACAATGGTGCTTTCGGGGGCTTCAGGTCCAATCCATCCGGAATATTTCTCATCGTCGTCGGTACCTGAACAATCGAAAAAATAATTAATTGACACAATAATACGCAAAATTAAAAACTATTTCTACACCCACATGACCGTTTTGCAAATCCACGAGATCTACGAGACGGCAAAATTGAGCCCCGGACCTGACCGGCGAGGGAATTGCTTCTGTGCACAGGGATTCTTCCACGATGATATGCGTAGTTCCAAAAGCAGATAGAATCTTGTGAACTTTTTCCGGCGACAAATGCCCATAAATTTGGTAAACCTTGAAGAAAATCCCAAATCATGAGTTACAACCAGCCACACAACATTTTCTTAATTACAAAACGGCATCTACTTCATAAAATACTGTGCGCCTGAAATATAGAATTCAAACATACAATACAACTCACCTCCTTCGTCCGGTTTCTGAGCCACGCATTCTCAAAATGTGGGTGATTCGTAATCGCTCGCCCAGTAGTTGCATGAACAGTGGCCATCAACTGCATGGATCCAGCAAAAACAGATTCGGTCGGCGACGAAGAACTCAGAATCCAGTCCATCAAGGAAACAGAGTCCGGGTCATAAAATTCTCGCAGTTCACCGGCTTCTCCTCTGACTTTCTCCTCAAGTTTCCATCCAACCACAGAAAGAATCAGCACGCAAACCCCTGTTGAAAAAAACAAAACAAAACATCATACACGCAAACTTCATTTTAAATGGCTGGCCACATCAGAACAAGACGACTTCCTCACCAATTCGCCCAACTTTGGCAGGCCATTGTTTCTTCGCCTGACTTTTATTTAGACAATCGGGACCGAGGCAAATAGACCACATGCGCTGGTCTGCAACTCCGGCACCAACCAGAATGCACATGTAAGGGACCCACAGGCACAACAATCGCTTCATCAGCAGCGCCCCAATTCCAAATGCTAAGCTCAAACCTGAGGGTGAAAAAAAAATTAACAGGAAAAAGTTCCATCAAACGAATCTTCCAAAACAAAACAATATCTACTAATTCACCTATATGTAGGACAAGATCAGCACGTCCGATGGTCAACAATGAGAACAAAGATAAATGCTTGGTTTTTCCATCGTCGTTGAGGCTTTTGGTTGATCTGATTCCTTTCCCAGAATCTCTCAAATACACGACGAACGAAATGCCCCATAAACACACGAAGAAGTTGTACAGCGGAAAGAGAAATGTGCCTGTCAGTGACAAAATGGTGTCTTGGCCCAGCAGATCGAAAGCATCATGGCACACGTACAATTGAACTTCCAAGTCACTGATGTCTTGTCTAAACAGAAACCAATGTCGAATACCATCACGCATTAAAAATCACCGAAACAAATGTTGCCTAACCTGCCCAAAATTCGAGACCAGAAAAATCGTAGGATGTGATCATCGTCAGCACCACCTCCCACGACGTCGTTAACAGCAAGCCACACCAAAATACCCGCACCCAAAGTTACGACAAAGTTCAACGGAGGTACAATCTTCTCGATTTGCAATCCACGAAATTTCCTCTCGAAATAACTCAACGGAGTATAAACGCAGTTCAAGCAAACGATTAAACTGCCAGTTAGTGCAGGAGACCGCAGCAAGTATGGAAGAGGCTGAATCACCCATGCAGCAAAAATAGATGCTGCAATGCAAATACACGCAATCATGACCTAGGATTGGAAAACAAACACATGAAAACAAAAGTTCATCACTGCTCAAAGACACACTTACTCTTCCAGCAGGGGCAAACCGAAACGTTCTCAGCACCAAGAGCGATAGAACAACCACCGTGAGCAAATACGGAGTCATTTGCCAGGAGAGAACAGCTACGATCCCGGCTGACGTAGCACAAAGTGAAATCAACGCATTCTGAAGAACCCGCCTGAATATTTGAAAAATAAATTTCAGGAATATATTACATCTCTGATAATAATCACCATAATCTTACTCTAGCTTTTTAGACTGAGATTCCCGCTGAACAATAATCCATCCAAGCAATCCGAGCTGCGCAAATAAGAAGGGAAGTCCGAAGGCCTCTCGAAGTCCAACTCCATGGGGAACTCTCGTCGCATTATCTCGGTTCAGTGCAAAAAAGCCAACTGCTATGAGACCAGCGAGCCACGAGCCGGCCAATGACCAGGATATCAAAAAAATTGATGCTACCAAAAGCATTTGAATGCCAAAGACGCAGTCTGCATAAAATATTGACGCAGGCATCTGAGCTGGTGCAAGGAACAGATATAGAGATGCCAAGACGGATTCCGGAAAAACGTTGAACCGTTCGGTCGGTATAACTCCACCTTGCCGGGAAAATTCGACCTAAGTGCACAGAATAAAACAGATGATTTAATACATTTTCACGCAGTGTACCTAGTGAAACCCGGTAAGCCGGCAACTTACCTCGAACGAACGCAGTGAGGCATCGGAATTGGGCGAACGAATGTAGTTCTTAAAAAAGGAATAGTAGAATGCTTGATCAGCTTTGAAAGAAATCTCCCTTTCGAGCTCCTTCAAACTGCTAAACCACAGCATGTTCTCGTGAAGCATTTGAAGGTACTCCGCCATGCCCAGGCACAGGCCAATGCCGATAAGCAGTCCAATGGTCACGCTTACACCATGCCATAAGCTTTCCAAATGAACATTCGGTTAGGGAAAACAATCGAGGAAAAGCTACTCAATCACAACCACGATCACTAAATCTCGAGAAAACATTACCTCGGAAAGACACGAGTCGAGAAATTCGATACATATGTCGCTGAATCTTTATTCGCATCATTTCCAGCGTTCACATCGTCTGCCACGAACTCTTTTGACTCCGTCTTACGCACTCTCCGTCTCACAACCAAGTCGTCCATGTCAACAATGATGGATAAATGGTGTCGTCTTAATGCCCTTGTTCCGATGAGCGATCAGCACTCAAGATCGTAACTGCACTTCGCCGACAAAAATGATAAACGTCGAACGAGACATACACTACAAAGATTACGTCACACGAGGCAAACATTCCCTGCAAAAAATTCGAAGAAGCTAAGGATTACGTCAAAAGTTTAACGGCATGAAGCAGTATTGCACCCTTCCAATCGTCTCCGCGAATAGGACTGCCCTTACCCTAGTGTGAAGACGGCATCTCTCTCTTGCTTCGACCAAGCAGCACATGCTACAGCGTTACCAAATGGTACAGCAAAGATAATGCAGATTAGAGCGGCGCCATTTGACAGTTTGTAACTATGCTAGACATTTTCCGAAAGAACTAGCCATATCTGAAAATCTGTCCCGTTTATTTTTGTTCTATACCTCGGATAATCCTAAAAGTATGCTCGTCAAATCATGTGGAGTCTATCCTCTCACTTTAATGTAGCCATGCAGTACTGTAGTTTTCCACAGTACAGCATTTAAGCAAAGTGGTCACCAAGTACAGTACTGTACTGCAATTTGCTCCACATCATGTTTGGCAACGCTGGTAGAAGCCGGCTTTGGGAAGGACGAATAACTTTCCAGTCGGTCCCAGTCCAGAGATGGGGCATGACGGTGGTGATTCAGTCGGTCGATTCCAAGGTGGCTTTATCATGTTGGGAGGGGCGTGCAAGTGATAGCGATCGTTTCATATTTCGTTTAGAAATTTCAATTATATCCGTCCTCATGCCGGGTGAGGATAATGAGTATCAGCGTAAGTTGATGGACCTCATTCGTAAACGTGATGAAATCGATGAAGAAATCAGTCGGAACGCGGAAGTTCTTGAAAGGGTGAGCTTCTCAACAAAATTTGTCCCCTGAGTCGTAATTAACTGGTATACATCTCGTGTGATCTCAGGAGAAGAACGTTGGCATGGACGAGCCCCTAACAGATAGAGAAGACTTTCCACGTGCGGATATAAATGTACCTTTAGTGCGTCAAGCTCGCCACGCGATCATACGTGAGTTTCCGGTTGATGGAATTTCGAGCGAATGTTTTCCTATGAGATGGTTGACTGGATTTTGCAGGACTACGCAATGACCGGAAGGAGTTGATGGAACAAATCGAAAAAGCGATGGAAGCGCTTCATGCCGAAGCTAGGTCAACGGGTTCGTCTGAATCACGCTCGGATGCGACGAATAGTCCCCAACTCACCGAGCGGAAGCCGTTCGCCGTCATAAAACACGTCGAACCTGATTCCCCAGCCTTTCTAGCTGGCTTCAAATCAGACGACGAAGTTCTCGAAGTTGGCTCTGTGAATCATCTAAACTTTTCTTCGCTAAATGACATCAAACTGGTTATCGATAGCTCGGAGAACTCGCGAGTTCGCGTCCTGTTGAGGAGGAAAGAGGGCGCGAATACCCGCTTGGTACTTGCCGGACTGGTGCCGAAGAAGTGGAAGGGTTCGGGTTTAGTGGGTTGTGCTGTGTTGCCTTTGGCGAAAACGTGATTATGAGATGTTTACTCTCTATTAAATTATTTTGCGTAAACATTTTTAAAGTTGTGAAAGAGTTACGGATTTTTTTTATTTTTGGTGCGCAGATATGTTACATGTAAGGAAAAACCGTCGTAAGCTCGCATCAGTCATAAGTGGATTATCACTTGGGCTGTTCTGTGGCTTGTCACTGACGCGCACTGTTTTGAGAGAACCAGTCGCGGAATCGCCAGACGTTGAGCTGGATTTCGCAGCGATGCACTTGGCCTATAATTTCACGAAAATGGATCAAAGTTCTTCAGTGAACCTTAATACGAATGATCATCAATTCATCTCGTCGGAACTGAAAATGAAGGACCCGGTTGTTGTCTTGTCTACCTGCGAGTCTGCTTCCGTTTACGGTGTCGATGCGAGTAGGTTGTGTGTTTAGCATGTGTTCGTAATGAATGAAAACATTCCTTCTTGTTTTGTTCAGATTTTGTACCACCGGTTGACTCGCCCGAAATTGGAGATGATGTTTCGGGTACCGAGGCTACGTCCGAGCTACGAATTTTGGAGTACATTCTCGCTGAACGTCTTGCGGAGCAGTTTAACTTCATTTACATAGCACCTTGTAAAAGTTACATTCACGAATCGGAGTTGCATGAGTTCATTGACGCTCTGAGTCCGGGAGATGTGGTACAAGTCGGCGTGACTTCGGGAAACGTTTGCAGTATGGGTAAATTTCTCTCTTCAGTTGCCTGATTTTTACTTGCCATTTCCGAGACTCGGTTCTGGTAGATGGCATGTATTGTAGACGGGATTTCGGAAGTTCAACATTGCCTTATGTTGGCGTAGCTGAATATTCGGCGTTGGTGTTTTCAATCAGAAATACTCTTAAAATTCCATGAAGTTTTTGAAATTTTCAATAGCTCACAAGAAAATTTAGCTTTTGGGTTCAAACAAAATTAATAAAATAATAAGATTCGGACGGGATCTCAGAAAATCAGCTTCGATATATTTTGCAGTTTTAAATCGGAACGAAGTCAACAAAACTGAAGTATCTTTGTACTCCCTGTTGAAAACGCAATCGTAAGATTTATTTCGATGATTTTTTTCATCAATACAGTACTGCGAAGCATTTGTATGAATGGGGGAACAGGTGTTTAAATATTCAGCATATTTTTTCAAGCTCCTCGACAGGTTTTAGAACAATTAGGACATTGTGAAGAATACCTGCCGCTTGTTTGCACGTTGTTTGGATGTGCATACGAGATGCACGTGTTGCATGTTATATTTTTCTGTGTTCTTTCAATGTGCGTTCTAGATTCTGGATTACTTATGAGTGCCTTGTTAATGGAAAAGATTGACCCGTCGAAACTTGAGGAATGCGAAAGTCGCGGGATCACTGGAATCAGTGCATGTTTTGCGTTTGTCGGTGTTCCTTGTCTGCAGGAAGTTCGTGTGAGTTTTCTTCTTTTACAACAGTTGGTTTCCGACCGCGTGATTCTTGAAATATAGCCTTAAAACGCAATATTTCCCGCTTTTGCGACAGCACGTCAAGTATGTCGGATTAGCAGCTGACAAATATTTGGAAATGGAAAGCAGCTGGAACAGGAATGCATTTCTTGCCATTTTGAATGTCCCGAATCCGTCGACGGCTCTTGAGCTTCGCTTGCTCGCGATGAAGGCGTGTACTGTTTTTATAAACTTTTTTTGTTCATTTTTGAAATGGTCGTTCACGTCGATTTCTGGATATTTTAGCGCATGGAAGAGAGGCTAATGGGAGAACTGAAGCGGCAGAAAAAGCAGCTGATGGAGAATGTGCAAGAAAAGGTGAGACCGAAAGCAGGACGTTGTTGTTCTAACGTTATGATCGGTTTTTTTTTTTTTTTCACGGGTAGGTGAAAGCTGATTTTCCTATGGAATTTCGTCCACCGCATGTTCCAAAGAACCGATTTGACGTTCTTCCCTGGTTGTACATCACAACGAACGGGTTCGTGCTGAGCTCAAATGGGAAGCAGAATCAACGTCGTTTAAGCGAGGAAGAAAGCGAAGAATTGACGGTTTGTGCGAAAAATACTTCCGTCGGCAAGATTTCTCGGAACTTTTGCGTTCGGTTCAATTTTAGGAATTACTGGAGGCCATCGAAGGAGTCGTCGGATCAGATGTTGAGGCATTGGGTGTATACAAAAGGCTAGACTATTCTCGAGGCGTCGAGTTCACCGTCGATGTTCTGTATCCCAATGAACAAAAGATACTAAGGTTTGTTTGAGTCGAAATTTAATGATCACAACAAAGAGAAAAAATATTGTTGTCTCAGATTTGAAGCCCTGAAGCCGTTGGGAGAAATTGTTCCCATTCGAATGCCGTTTGTAACCGAAAAGAAAGTGGTGCACGTTGCCGTTTTTTGTCATCGAGGCAATGTTGAGGCTGTTTTGGGACTGATTGCTTCAATTAAAGACGGAAATTCTGCTGATCCGCATAAATTGAGACTCATTGTTGGTCTACTGGAAGGTTATGATTTTCCGGAGGTTCGCCAAAAATTAAATCAATTAGCCGGTGAGTTTTATTTCTCTTGAGTCGGTATTTCTGCCTGCTAAAATTTGGGTTTTCTAAGTGTTCGTCCTCTTATTTCACAGGGTCATCTGTCGTCAGAATCAATTCCCAACAAGTCGTAGAGTTTTTTCACGAGGTTGTCGGAATTATTCCTGAAGACTCGCTAATTTTGCATCTCGAAAAACCAATTGAGCTGTCGAATGAATGGCTGAACCGGGTTCGAATGCAAACTTTGAAGAAAAGCCAAATTTTCGTGTCGTTGCCGTTCAGACTGTTCCACCCGGAATTGGGGAAACTCCACGACAGCAACCAGGTAAACGCAAACGTCGGAATCTTCGACGAGAATGAACGAGGCTTTGTCAGTTTTTACGCTTCGGACTTCGTCAAAGGTAAGATTTTGTTTTTCATTTCGGGCGCCGAAAGCAATTTGATCGGAATTTTTTCATGTCTCAGCTCGTTCCGAGCTTTTGGCGAGGAATTCGACGGAACGTGTGTCATTGCTGACGTTGTTCACGAGATTCTCTGATCTGCATATTTTGTCTGCCCCAGAGCGCGGAGCTTTCGTGAAATTCGATCTGGAAGAAGAGAAACAAGTGCGTTTGTTGGGAGCGGCACAGTTTTGTCGGCGGAAATCCACCGACGAATATTCTCGGAGTTGGTGTAAAGCTTCTTTTGAGACTAACCTTGGTTCGAAGCAGAGTTTGGGTTGGAAATTCATATAAAAAGAAAAACACGTATTTAGTTTTGCAGTGCGCACCAAAGATGTGAAGAAGTCACACCGGGATTGATTTTTGCTGTTTTGGTTTCCTTTTGTTTGCCAAGGTTGGTTTTGTGATGTGATGGTGATCGGTCTCAAGTTTTGGCTTTTCGTTTCCTTTCTCACATTGGTGGTGATAGTTTGCGGTGTTTGGAAGCTTTTCATTTCCGGTAAAATTCTTTCGACATTTTTATTTTTCTCGTTGAAGTAATGATGCAAGCCCATCATTTCTTTGATTTTTGTTTCTAGAATCGTTTCACAAACCAAGAAAGCGCGCATCTGTGGTAAGTTGAACAAGCAATTACAATCTAAAATGAAGAGTATGAAGTATTTCTTGCCTGATCATGCAGAGAAATGCGCTGAAAAACGGGGATTTGGCAGGTGCCTTGTCAATTATGCAGAGAATGACGCCGAGTGATAGACAGAAAATAGCCGGAAAGTGGCTGGTGGTACGGTTTAAATTTTATTTTACGGGCGTCAACGGTTGAACCGGTATTTTTATTTTTTCAGAAGAGTTGCCAAATCAGAAATTACGATTTATTTGAAGCATTGATGGAATTGCGTGAGTTGAACTAGTGCTTGAATCGTAAACCACTTTTCATTGATCGAGGAAACTTTTTCAGAGATTGACCCTGTGAAGGCGAAAGATAGAATGGGAGCTAATCCTGTCCTGCGTTTACTCGATTACTCTTCCAAGTCTCATTGGCTGATGAAATACCTTGGGAAAACGACGGGGGTTTTGGGGGCGAAAATTCGAGTCCGGATGATGCAGATCTTGCTGGAAAGAGGTAAAAAGTGTCTTTGTAGCCATTTTGCGACGTAACTCCAACGATGATTTCGTTCTTCGATTTGCTTTCAAAAGGATGTGATCCGAATCAAAGGATTGGCTGCGAGAAATTCACCCCACTCCATTTGGCTGCGAAAGCTTGTGATCTTGAAATGTGTCGTCTGTTGCTCAGGTACGGAGCTAATCCGTATATTTTGACCGAAACGGGATTGGGAGTTTTGGATGCTGCTTGTGAAATTGGTATGCATAATATAAGTGTATTTTTAGGCTTTTTGACAAATTTACATGTTTGGACGTCTCTCTTTTTTTTTTAGGTATACGAGGGTTCAGGGAAAAACTGCGCCTCGAAATAAGCTTTCCCCAGGTACCGGGGGCATATTATCAGCAAAGGTGTTCCTCTTGTTGAAGGCTGTCTCCTCTGTGAAGGAAATTCATGTGAAAGAAATCGATTTTTTCGTTATTTTTGTGAACCAACTCGATCTCGATTTTCTGTTACGTGTCTCGAGGCTGTGACGAAATTTGCGATAAAATTCCGAACGCGGGTAAAACGTCCGTTTTTCTTGTTTATTGTATCGGTGTTTCGATCAAATTTCATAGAAAAACAAGCTTTGACTCGAAGTTTATTTTATTTTCGAGCAGGAGTGTTTGTTTCTTTGATCATGGGGCGAAGGAATCGGAAACGGAACCGTGATGGTACCAATGCGGCAAAAAATGGTTCCGGCGACGGCGGAAATGACGGACAGAAGCGTCCCGAACATTACGAGGAAATCCTGCGGGAAAATCAAGGATTCAACCTCTACTACAAAGTGCGCGACCAAAGTAATTGTTGCTCGAGTGAACCGAAGATTTAATTCATTTCTTCTTTTTTTCACAGACTCAGAAGGTGATCCCGGAAGACGAATGGGATAATTTCATCAAAACGATGGCGACGAACTTGCCGGTAGCATTCCGTATAACCGGGTTCCGTGCCGAGGCTGACATCTTGAGGGGCATCGTCAAAGACGTTTATTTAAAGAACTTTGCTGCTGCTCGGACGGACGACGGAAATCTCGTGATTCCTAAAAGCCTCCCGTGGTACGAATATGTATATATATTTCCTTTTTTTTTCGCTTGAAAGCGTGCTAAATTTTTTCAAGATGTAGGATAAGGAAATTATTTTTGAAGAGTAAATTTTTAGAGAAGCAAATATTCTAAGCGCAGGTCGAAGAGTGATATGTTAGGCGTGAAATTGATGCTTGCGCTTTTGGTAATTGCTCTTCTTCTTTGGTATATCTTGATATTTTATAAATCTTAGGTACCCGAGGGAATTGGCCTGGCAAGTGAACTTGACGCGTCAAATGATCCGTCGCGATGAGGTTTTCGCTAAACTGCACCATTTCTTGATCTCGGAGACCGTGTGTGGGGCCATCAGTCGTCAGGAAGCTGTGAGCATGATTCCACCTCTCGTTTTGGACGTCCAGCCAAATCACAAGGTCAGTCGCAAAAGTTTTTTTTTTCACTCAATTTTTCTCCTAAGTGGTTGTTGCAGAGTGAAAGCTGAAGGTTTTTTAGATTAATTTAGGAAACCAGCTGTTTAGCAGGAGTCGAATTCAGGTCTCGGTTATTGATGAGCTGGTGGACTCCTTCTGCAGCGAAGTTCAAGGGACCAGAAAAAAATTCCTTATGAAGAGACACTACCTGCATATCTAAATTTGTTTCGTGTCTTCCAAGGTATTGGACATGTGCGCGGCGCCAGGATCGAAGACGACGCAGTTGCTGGAGATGTTGTACGCTGGGGATGATACAAGGATGTCAGGTTCGTCGAAATTTCGCCCAATTCTTTGTTATTGTTGATTGTGTGTACTGTTGAGTTTGTGAGACAAGAAATTCTCTACTCAGTGCAGAAGGAATGGTTGTAGCAAATGATGCTGACAACAAGCGCTGCTACATGTTGGTCACACAGGCGAAGCGATTAAACTCTCCGAATTTGGTCATCACGAATCACGATGCTTCCGTTCTTCCGAAAATGACTGAGACTGGACCCAGTAAGTTGACGACTTCAAATTTCATGATTTTCTGTTTTCTTCCTGTTTAATTTTCTGTTTCCTTTTTTTTCGAGATGGAGAGAAAGTTGCGCTGAAGTTTGACAGGGTTCTTTGTGACGTACCGTGTTCCGGGGATGGAACGATGCGGAAAAACGTTGACGTGTGGAAGAAGTGGAATGGGGCAAACGGCAACAATCTCCACTGGCTGCAGTTTCGAATTGCTCGCCGAGGGTTGGAACTGCTCAAACCCGGTATTTTCAACGCGTTGCAATGCTGAATTTCCTATACGAAAATAGTAGCATTTATAGTTCTTGAAGGTTTACCAGTCATGCGCAAGTTGAGTTTTCCGGTGTTGGGCCAATTGGAAAAATTTACATGGCCCATGCTCACATGATCAAGGGGAAAATTCGTCATACTTATGCAGTATTTAAAAAGGAAAATTAGTTCATTAAAACGAAATATTTTATTATATTGTCCGGAAGCTGCTGGAACCAAGGAAAAAAATCGTCGTGACGAAACATTGTTAATAACGGATCATTTACGTTCATGATGCACTTTTCAGATGGAATCATGGTTTATTCAACGTGCTCCCTGAACCCGATTGAGGACGAGGCAATTTTGTGCAGGCTCCTCAAAGAATACCCAGACTGCCTGGAGATCATCGACGTGGCAGACAAGGTGCCCGGGCTGAGGACTGTGCCAGGTGTGACGACTTGGAAACCGATGAGTCGGGATCTCAAGTTCTACGAAAATCCAGAAGAAATTCCCGAGAAATTCTCGTCTCAGATCCGTGCCGCCATGTTTCCGCCGTCGCCGGAAGAAGCGGCGGCGTTTCATTTGGACAGATGGTCAGTCAGTCCGGACCCCGCGAGAATCCTTCTAAAGAAATGATCAAATGATAATTCCTTTTTTCACGACAGCATGAGAATTCTTCCGCATCACCAAGACACTGGAGGGTTTTTCTTGGCCGCCATCAGGAAACTGAAGCCCCTGCGTTCGGTAAACAGTGGGCCCAAATCTGGAGAAGACCGTTCTTCGGAAGAAGTTCAGGAAAAGGAAAAGCCCGCCGACGTTGTCGCGGATGAAGACGATAAAATGACGCCGCCGAAAAAGCGGAGGTTCTTCGGATTCCGCGAAGACCCGTTTATCTATTTCAACCAAGAGGAGCCGTGTTGGAAGACGATCAAGTGAGATACGATGTTGGATATCTGTAATAGCACTCCTAATTATCCGGCCTGTGTGTGTACCTTCGACGTTTGTATTTGAAATGATCCGTTTCGCCCTGATTGATCAAATATCCTGACAAGTCAATAATTTCGGAAATATCTGCGAGACGCACAGTTTTATATTACTGTAGATAATCCAGACATTTTTACTGTTTAAAGCAGAGTTGGTTTTGTGCAACTGCTTGGACAAAGGCACCAGGCCGTAACTCGCATAAATATGAGTTGCACGAAATTATGATGGAAATGTGTTGAGGCTCTGACTGAGATGATGTTGTGGCGCCACAGAGACTTTTTCGGTGTGGAAGGACTGGACCATAGGTTACTCCTTAGCAGAAACCGGGAAGAGAAGAAGAAGAACCTGTATTTGACGTGTGCTGCTGTGAAGGATTTCATTGATTGCAATCAGGAAAACGTGAAGGTCATCAACACTGGAATCAAAGCCTTCATTCGCTGCGACGGAAAAAATTCGGACTGCGAATTTCGACTCGCTCAAGAGGTGGTGAAAGCGATTCTTTTTATTTTCACGACCTGAAAAATGTTCAACTGTTCCTTTTTTTTCCTTTTTATTTTAGGGAGTGAATGAGTTGCTGAGGTTCCTCAACAAGCGAGTGGTGAAGCTGCAACGGGAAGACGCCTTGGCCATTTTGAGGAAGCACGATCTCGAGGATCCTCTGCAAAATTCAGCTCTGTGTGATGAGACGCAGGAAGCCCTGAAGCAACTCAGTAAGTGATTGAGAGTTTTTCATTTGATTAAAACTTCCCGTTTTTTGTTGTTGTCCCTCGTCATTGAACCATGCGGTCGGCGCAATTTCAGACCTTCTTCACCGAAAATATGATATCAACCTCGAGTATTCCTGCTGTTGAAAATGACTTTTGTTTCGATTATCGTTAAAAGGCACTGGAAGCGTGGTGTTCGTGTATGAAACCAAAATGAAGGACGTTGAGAAAACTGTTCGTCTTGCACTCGTTGGCTGGAAGGGAGCTGCGTCTGTGAGAGCGTATGTCGCCAAGAGCGACAGAGTTCATCTTTTGCGTCTATGCGGCGGGGACACTTCGTATTTCGGTGAGCTTAAATTTGAACCTTTTCAGAGTCTATATCTCGGGAATGCTTCCTTTTTTTTTATTGCCTGATTCTTGGTGCGTATTTCAGAAAACCTGGACATTGAAGCTAAATTTGGCAACAAATCCGCAAACGGCGACTCGGCGGGAAACGCGACGCAGGAGGAGCAAGATGCATTGAAGGTTGCTGCGGAGGAAATCCCGGTTGCAGTCTGAAGTGACTTGAATTTTTTTTTTTTTTTTTGATGTCTCAAAACCTTTTTTGAGCTGGGCGAAAATAAACGTCGTCTGAAGTGCATCGTGTGGTATTTGATCTGAATTTTTAATCAGTTCGAATAACGGGTTTTCAGAGTTCGGATTCGGATTTTCTACCTCGCGTTTGATGCGGAACTTCATGTATAGTGCTTGTAGGTATGGTTATTGAAAAATAATGTGCGTGGTCGTTGAAAACGAAGAGTTATGTATGGAAGAAGTTCTTGTTTGTTTTCAATAATTCTTTCGAAAGGAACTGTTTCAGGTTAATGGCGATGTTTTCCGTCAACCACGACGATAATGAGGTCGTCGTTGAATTCAATTTTTTCAACTATTCTAGGAAAGACTCGTGACATCGCGAAGCATAAATGTATTGTACCCCGTTTCCGAAATTTATTGCCATAAGGGTTTACTTCCTGAAATGAAGGATAAAATTCGGGACATCTGGAATATCAGCAACGGCGTTCCCTGCTTTTCTCACTCACCAATCGCCGTCCAAGACCGTCGAGAGAAGTTAGTACGTACTGTAATCTTGTATAAAATCGCCTTTTTCCCTCAAGGAAAACGAATTGTACACTGTGTATTACTGCTCAGGCTCCACTTCATTACTTTGCCTGCATAAATTTCCGTGACTAGGAAAAAAACGGTGTCGTTTTCGAAATCAACTTTGGCGCCGTGGAACCGCATACAATAACAATTTGGGAAAATTGAGTTTCGGTTGATTAAATGAGGAAAAGGAAAAAAGATTCACACGTGACGATGCCAAACCACGCTTCGTCAAGCCTTCAATTCCATCAGCGACCGGAACGGAATGGATTATAACCGACACGTCGAGAATTTCTCGTCAGTGCATGTTGCTCGTCAGAGAATTTATGTCAGTGCGTTCAGCAGCTCGATCAGCGATGATGTGTGAGTTTAGTTTGAGTCGACAGATGATACTTATTACTTATTTCGAGGAGGTGATGCGTTTTTCTTACTGTATTGAATCCACTAAATACATACTGAAGGACATGTATCATTTCATTGACGAAGTTTGACCCTGAGATTGTTATCGATTTCCGCGAGGAACTTGCTTGATTTATTTCCCCGTTATAAAGTAAGCACACAGAAACAGCAGATTTATTCTTGTTGATGTGGCAGTCGTGTTACCAGTAGCAGTCAATTTCCGATAGCAATAATTGGAATGATGTGAAGAAAAATGTAAAAGCCAGCCCTGACGAGATTCTCATATTTTTAATTTATTTTTTCGCAGGATAGTGCAGTGCGTGATAGTTCGTAAACGAGTTGCGACGAGTACGAATATACGGTATATTGTACCTTCGAATGATTTTTGTCTCACCATCGAAACTCGTGTGAAACTTACGTTTTCCGTCTCATAATTTCTCTCATTGATGTTTTCGTTAATGTGCGGAAAAAATATGTCCTCTTCTTGCATGTGCGTTTGTGTCATGCAGATTATTGCAGTGTCTTTTTTTTAACTCGTCGGAATGTTCGATTACCCAATTGCGAGTTGAGTTCCTGCTGGGGCTTATGTAAGAAAATAAGCGGAGAATGTTCATTATTCGGGTTTCTTGCAATTTTTTTTATGAAGTCTGACTGCGGATTTTGTATTTTCAAAGAGTGTCGACAGCCGTATAAAAATTACTGTATTTTTATGAATACCGCTTTTCTCAAAATGTTTCAGAAAATTTAAGAGACATGTTTAGAAGATCCCAAGTATGTTTTGGCTGATCAATAATCATCCACTGATGAATGAATTACCTGAAAAATTCATTTGTATATAAAAAAAAACACCAGTCTCCGCGTTTGTGTGGACTTTTGGTTGTATTGTTTCGATTCACATTCATAATTCACCGTAAAAAAAAGGGGGGCGGGCTTTCTTTGGCTTCCGCAAAAGGAGAACGGAACAGTTATTGTTGCTCACATGTGCGTTATTCCTGGCCAAATTCGAGTGATAGCTTCGACAGTCGGGGGTAGATTCCGCGGAAAACGGTGTTATTATTGTGGCATTTTCCGGAATCTTCCAGCAGCAGCAACGACGAACGTGTCCTTTCTGATTATTCGGGGTAAGTGCGAGATGTCCGTATTTATTTTCGTTTAAAAGGTATAGATTTCGAAGAAATGTTTTTGTTTGATCATTTCTTCTTCACGACTCTTCAGATTCTGTCTTGCTTCAAGTAAAATTAAAAGGTGGGGATTTCACCTGCTTTTTTATCCCTCTCGTGTCGTATGGCAGGGAAAAGCGGGCGATGTCGTCGTCGAGAGAAAGTGCGACGGATTTCCTCGCGTTTGCCAGGAAATTCTTCCAGGCTGTTATGTACACGGTGTCGAGTTTAAATTCCATCACTGCGATTTCTGCATTCCTTGCTGGTGTATAGCCTCGCTAATTAAGAAAAGACAAAAAAAAACCGCGCAAATACGTACAGTTTTTGGTTGTGTATGTTCTGGGAACGACTGAAGAAGAATAAGAACTCGTTTTTCCCTTTTTTGTTATTGCAGCAGGAGAATAAGTGGCGGTTGTGTGTAGGCGCACACCCGGTATATATATAGTCGGCATCGGTGGACGCATGCGTGACGGGGCCAGCGCAGCGCATGCAGCAGGAGCAGCTCTGTGCCTCGACGACGAGAGGGACTCTACATCATCAGCCTGCTGCCATCAGTCCACCACGAGCCAGGAGTGAGTGTGTGTGTGAGCCATGGGCCAGGCTACTACTGCCACTACTTCTGGCCCTTCCCCGACGCCGCAGCCGCCGCCGCCGCGAAGCCCAAGTAAGCGAGAAATACGCAGTGAAATGAAATGAGGATGTGTTATTATTGTCCTGGCCCTGTTTTTGCTGTACTGTCCGCTAACATACAGCATCAGCTCAAAATTGTACGTGCACAAAGCTGTTATTGTGGTTGATTGATTGATTAATTAAATTGACCGCATGGCGGAATGGGACTATTTGGACGCACTGCTCGTGCCTCGTGCGGAGTCAAGGTTATTCGGTGAGTATTTGTATGTATAGATGTTCACCTGTTTTTTTTTTTTTTTAGCCTGCATGCAAGCAAAGGCAGTCCGTCGGTCGCGTGATGATGATGATTAATTGTTTATCCTGATTTTAATTTCAAAATTGTTATTCGTTTCTTCGGCCGGATACGTAAAATGTTCTTTCTTGAATTTGGTCGTGTTATATATATGTATAGTGAGCATCAAAAATAAGAAACCAGTGGGACGGCGAAGGGATGACGGCGGTGGTGAAGAAGAAGAAGGGGATCGCAGGTCGACAAGGAGCAGCATCAGTGAAGAAGAAAAAGAGGCGGCGGCGGCCGCCTCCGGGGGATTGTGCGTCAATCTCAGGAGCTGGACTCGGAGGCAGAAGGTGATGATCGCGACTATTGCCTTGGCGGAAATGGCCGGCTTTGCGGGACTCTCAGTCATTGCTCCTTTGTTCCCATCACTGGTGAGTGCATGAAGGTTTATATGTTCTGTGTACTGTACTGTGTATATACAGTATAGGTTTACAGTTGGTGGTGCCCCGCAATTCGAACCTAATTCGTTGCTGGACTAAATATAGGGTCGAATTTGCAAAACACTATGTAAAATTGAGGAACAACAGGCACAAAAGTGGCTCCAGCAGGTCAAATTTTGGGGCAGAGGTCGAATTGCGAGTTGAGCTCCCAGCAAATTTGACCGTCAAATTTCAGGATGGTCAAATTGCAGTATCCCGACGTACTGCCTTGCAATTATTCTGTTGCCAAGTGGTTTTTTGTATCGTAAAATCTCTCTTGTGGACTTTTTCATTAAAGGCTTTTTTGTGACAGAATATTGTGTGCTCTCTGAACTATGCTATACTTGGTTTAAAAAAAAAATAATCGGCTATAAAAACTACACAAAGTTGTTCCTTTTGGTTAACTTTGAAAAAAACATTGAAAATGATTGCAAACTTGAAGTATTCCTGTATAGTTGCTGCATTACCCAGACTCTAGTAAATCTGCTGGCTATGTTGTGGTTTAATTATTCTGATCTTTTTTCTGAGCAATCGAAGACTATATAGCATCTTTATATAGTCGTGGGATACTGCAGTGATGAGTTTCTGAGGTGACTTTTTAATCCCAGATTGCTGAAATTTGATTGTTTTTAAATTGTCTTGATTGATTTGTGAAAAATAATTAAGTGATGCGGAGTCCATTCATCAAAAACTAATATTCATTGTGTTGATCTTCATTTTTGGCGTGCCCAGCACTCTTTTATCTTGGAAGTAACATAGTATGTATGTCCCTGATTTACTAGTGCGAAAAAAATGTCCATTACAGATGATGTTCAAAATTATTACAGGCGCCGTTTTGTAAGAGATCTGCATTTTTAAATTTTTTGAACATTTCTCGGTTGAGGAATGTACTTTTTTTGCACAAAAAGAAAAAGTGTGGGACAAGAATCTCATGCCGTTTATATGCGATGATCCCCTTTACATGTGGTGAATATGGAATCTTCTTCCGCTTGATGAAAAAAAAAAGGATTTGAAATTATGGGAGGCGTATGAGTTTTGCAGATTATTTTTCTAATTTGATCGTGCCTCCCCCTTTTTTTTTTTGGCACAGGCGGAGTCGAAAGGAATGAGTACGAGAAATGTTGGCCTGGTGTTTAGTTCGTTTGCGTTGTCAGGATTCATCGGGGCGCCGATTGCTGGAATGATGGTGAGACGATGTCCTTTTTCGTTCGCAATTTGTTTTCTTTTTCAAAACGCGAATTAAAAAATGAGTCTTTGAATTTTTGCATGAGCCGTCTCAGCGTGACATTTTTAATTTCCCGCTTCCTTTTTTTATTTTTGGCTTATTGCAGGTGCCGAAAATCGGAGTGAAGATTATGCTGGTGGCAGGCATCGTCATTTCCGGTGCATCTGGCATTTGTTTCGGGTGTGTGGTCGTCTGTTCCTTCTTTCGTTTTTTTCAGTTACAGCTTCTTTATTGATGTCTTATATCTTTACGAGAGGTTACACGTTTCGGCGTGGACTTGAAATTATGTGCCGAATATCAGGGATTTTTAAAATCATTTTTTCTCCTGTTCAGAACTAGTTCAAATAAGAGGGTTTATAAGGCAGACGCCTTCTCAATGCAATCACCACGGATTTGTACACATTTGTTGAATTTGCACTTGTTATTGTTAAATTTTAAAGCTTCCCCAGCAGCAATAACGGGCTGATCCGCGCAGAACCGTGTAACCCCTCTTACAACTTGTCGTATGGCAGAAAAAGAGAGAAAACTGCCGTGCGAATATATATACACCGTACTTGTTGAAATTGGCATGAACCAAATGATAATAAGCTGTCATCACCTTGACCCGGGGTTTCCTTTGCTGAACCTTTTCCCTGTTGGGCATTCGAAACACTTCCTGGAAAGGCGGAGTGGCCGGGGGATTCCACATGTACAGTATATATAGTTGGCAGCGACCTATAATAAGTTGCTGGATGGGGTCGATTTCTTGATGGAAACCAGGGCGATGACCCGGTTCTTTTGCTGGAATCGTTCCAGTTGATATACACCCAAGCAGCAGCATGCAACCCAGACTCGAGTTCATTGATTTTCTCTGACAATCAAGTCCAGGGATCTTCGTTTCCGTCTTTTTCTTGCACGCGACAAATTTCTAATGGGGATATGTTTCTTAGAATTGCGATGAACTGGTCGTCGATGTTGTTGATGCCATTGTACTCAATTGGAACATATATTTTTTGATTGACATTTAAAAATAAGAAAACCCGAAATTGTTCTAGGGTCATTAAATTAAATTTGTATATACAGTACTGCATTATACTGTAAAATCTTGTTACAACAAACGTTCGGGTGCTTCAGAAGAAGTTTCTCGTATTATAGATAATTTTTTTTGATGAGATTTGCATTTCTTTTTTATTTTAATTACAAATTAGGGAAATGACAGAGAGAATTTTATTTTATTATGGAGCGTCTTCTAAAAATGCACATCAGACCTTATTTTTGTAATTGGTAATATTTTGAGTTTGCATTTCCTGCTGCTGAATATTACTGTACACTGATCTGTTGTTTCTTCTTTTTTTTGGAATCCGCGCATTGAATGAAATGACCCGAAATGTTTCTGCTGCGCTAATTTTTGTTCAATTTCATTTTATTAATTTTTTACAGGTTGATAGAAGATGTGAATGACGAAGCCTGGTTTTGCTTCGGGGCCTTTGCGTTCAGAATACTCCAAGGGCTCTCGTACAGCTTCTACATCACTGGGGCGTTTGCCGTCGTCACCACCATCTTCCAGTCGCAAATGGGCCTCGTTTTGGTGAGCTATATATTGTGTCAGGACTCGCCAGGATCGATATACAAGCAGTTGAACCTCGATATTATAACTCGTCATCGAACCTCGTCCGTATGTAGAAATTATTGTCTGAGATCCTTTGGAAAAAATTGCGTGGAAAGCCTTCCTAAATGATCGAAGGTTTTCCCTCTCGAACCGTGATTCATAACTTGAATTTTCTGGAGGCCTGTTTTTTTTTCTTTTATTTTACGGACACCGGAATAAAGAGAAAACCAATTTTTTTTTAAATGTAACTGGATATGTTTTGAAAGAAAGTGAAAGAGTATACACCTAAAAGTTTGGCATTCATCCTGTCATCTAATTTAATAAGCAATTTAAGGCCCAGAACCTTATTAATTACAATTCCCTCGAATTTCCCTCTTACTTTTTTCAAGCAAAAAAGCTTGGTTCCCCCTCGACTAGAATTTTCTTTTTCTGCTGGACCCTTGAAGTATACGACTTGCAGAGGTTTGACTGCTGTATTAATGCTTCGGGATGCAGATTCATCGCAAAAAAGGGCCATGATTGCTGACCAAAGACTGACTTATTTTCTCTCCCTTTTCTAATTATTTTTATTTAATTTATATGTACTCATTGCAGAGTATTTTGGAGATTGTGATCGGAATCGGGCTGTCTGTGGGACCACCTATTGGCAGTGGCCTCTTCGCAGTGAGTCTTATTGATTTGGTTTCCAATTTATTTTTAATTTTCAATACGCATGCTGGAAGCGAAAGGGGTTTTTTGATTCCTCGTCATCGCCGAAATGTGTGCAGAATAAAAAGAACCCCCTTTATTTTTTTGTCTGCAGGTTGGAGGTTACAAATTGCCGTTCGCGTGTCTCGGCGTGTTGATGTTCATTTCGGCTGTTCCGCTCATGATAGTCCTGCCGTCTGCCAAAGGTGTGCTTGATTCATCATATCGGCACACCCATCCATTGATTTTTAAAGCCTATTTTTCCCGACACGAGGGGTACTTTGACGAATGTTGTTGGAATATAAAATCGAAACGGCACATCATGGCCGACATTAAAAACAATTATTTTTCAGGAGAAGAAAAAAAACCTTCTTTTGTATGGGCACAAGAAAAAAAAAAGGCAGGCCTATTCGAGATATATTTTTTTTTTTACAAAAGTCACCCTTGCAGGTTTCTGATCTTCACTCAAAAGATGAGGCGCCCATCTCGTCGCAGCCCAGCTTTCCCTTCAGAATTCTTGAAGTAGACGTGGCATTACCTCGATCTCCACGGGTTCCCATCACCATTAATTGATCGAAGCTTCCGCCATTTTTATCAACAGCCGCCACTTGGGGTGAGAATGTACGGAATTAATTGTTAAATTAATCGTTGAATGGCGAAACTACCTTGGAAAACCTGCTGCCCTTGGAATTAATGCCAAATCAATTTCGAGAATTCTGAAGGAGAAGCCGGGCTATACACCAAAAAATCTGCGAGATGGACGCCGCATGTTTAGAGTGAAGAGCAGAAAGATATTACCATATGCAGGGTGACTTTTGCTAAAAAAATATGTTGCCTTTTTTCTTGCGCCAAAATTTTTTTTTTTCAGCTCAATCATATGCCGTTTTGATTCATATTCCGTGAACATTTGTTAGACCCCTCGTGTGTTTTACTGTGATGAATGTAGATTAATTTGATCAACGAAAGATCAGTTGATCATTTTATGAATTTTACTATCTATATACGTGTGTGTGTGTGTGTGTGTGTGTAAGAAAGATGGCCGTGCATCATCCGTCCGATGAATAATTTAAATTCATGATCGTGCACATTCATTTTTATTTTAGCAATTTTCCAGTCGTGTACCCGCATTTTTAAAGATTCCACTTGATAACGGGACTCTTTAGGGTTTTTTTTTTCATGACTTCGTCCCACTCGAATATTTCTTTTATTGATTGATTGAAATGTAATGATTGACTGGTTCTTTCCTGGATATTGATGATGCAGAGTTTCTCAAGTCGAAGGAGCACCAAGACCAGGAACTGGACGCGGATGTGAAGAGGAAGCCGATGCGGAAGCTGTTTGTCTCGTACGAGCCGATGCTGGTGCTCGTCACAATCGTGGTGACCAGCATCTCTTTCATCTACTACCACCCGATCCTGCAGCCATTTTTGGAGCAAAAGGTGCAGTACTTGATTTACAGTATACAGCTGTGATATTCATATCAGCGTTCTTTTTTGTAATAAAAGTCGCTGCTGCTGCATATTTGAGATGATCTGGGGATAATGAATTTGTTATTTCTCTGACGAATAATGATGCTGCCCGCGATTATTGTTACACGTGATATTCTGCTGATCTCTATAAACTGTCGAGAATATTGATTTGGATGATGTATATATGAAGCCGGGGCTCAAACGCCAAACGAAGAGATGGACATGAAAATCGCATCTTATGTCTTCTAATCACAAATAATCGAAGTCTCATTGATGCTGGTGTATTTCGATGATGAACCAGACAAAATTATAGACCAGGTATCCATGGCCCGATGAGTTGTCCTGAACGATCCATTAATGCCATAATTGAATAGTTTTTATCGATGCGTTGGTTATTTTCAATCTGCTGTATAAGCGAATTTATTTTTTTAACTTTATTTTTTGGTAGAATTTTTTGTGGTTATTCTTTTGACTGAAAGTGGCAAAAAAACGTCGCTATCCTCTGAATGTTTTCCATTGAGTATTAAACGTACAGTACTATTGTATATAATGTATACAGCATGCACCCTGATTATTTGCATATACAGTATATGCAGCTGTAGCGTCGTGCAGATAATATCTTTTTGTTTTATTTTATTCATATTTTTTTGCAGTATGGTACCAAGGAAACCGAGGCGGGGTTCGTGTTCCTGGCCAGTCTCGGCAGCTACTGTCTCACGACCCCGATCTCGGGGATTTTGTCGGACATGTACCCGCACCGGAAGTACTCGCAAATAATGACGGGACTCGTTTTCGCCGCAGTTGGGGGCCTCGTCGTGGGTCCTGCCCCGTTCCTCCTGTCCGTCCTCCCGCAGTATGTCCTGACTTTGGAAAATGACCGTCTTTCTGTCGTATATATCTTCTCTCGACTCTCTCTCTCTCGATTTATTTTTTATTATTGCAGTATTAATGGTGCGATAGTTGTGTATATATACGAGGGGTTATACGTTTACGCGCGGACTTGAAATGGTCTGGAGACCAGCAGCATGCAGGGATTTTATTGAAAACATTTTTCTCATGAGATCCAATGAGAGGCTATATATAGGCAGACACCTTCTGAATAATTAATGTAATCACCACCGATTTGTACGCACTGCTCATCAGCCCCCTTTTGATCCATTTGTTGAAGCAGGCCTATTTATTGAAATGCAGTTGTTGAATTTTCAAGCTTCCCCGCGAGAACAGGAGCAACAAGCTGATCCGTGCGGAACCGTGTAACCCCCTCCCTGCATGAGATTAACTACTGCGACAAGTTTATTTATTTTTTCTTCTTTATTTTAGACAGGGAAATTGAATCAAAAATAACTTGTCGCCGTTTTGGTATTAAAACAGAGTGCTGTATATATATATACAGTACAATCCGTCTTTTACTGTTTGCAGGAAAAAGAGCACGACGATTGCCGGCTTGGTGCTCGCCGGGATCGGCTTCTCCCTGGCTGTTGTCCCCACCTTCCAGGGATTCACTGACGTCACTATGTGCGTATACTGTACTGAGTGGGAAAATACATGTGTATACAGCTGTACAGTACAGTACAGTACTCTTTTCTGTTGTTGTGAATATAATCTTCGAATCCTTTTTTTTTTGCCTGTGCAGTGCTGCTGGCTTCCCGGCGGACATCAGGACATTTGGCATGACATCCGCCTTGTGGAATTCTGCTTGGTCTCTTGGGTATGTCTGCATTCTTATACATTATACTGTATATACAGTCAAACCTCTGTGAGTCGAATTTCAAGGGACCTGCAAAAAAATCGACTTATATAGGGAGGTTGGCATTTTATAGTTTGGAACTGCAATACAGAGCCCTTTTTTTCTGGAAAACTTGGAAAAAATTAAAATGGAGATATTCTGAAGCTTAAATGGCTTCTTAAATGAGTTGAAAGGCTGCTGAACTTGGAGACAGGGGTTTATTTTCCCACTTAAGTCTTTTAATCCCTTTGAAACACATGAATGTTTGTTTTTATTGCTTTTTTCTTTTTTTTTCAAGAAAATAATGGCCAATGGGCCAAAGAAAATTCAAATTACAGAGGTTTGAGGGGAAAAGCCTTTGACTTGGAGAGGTTTTTTATGTATTGTCTTTAAGGGGATTCAGAGGGGATCTTTAAAAATTGGACTTACGGGGTATTCCACCTTGGGAGGTTCAAGTTATCAAGGTTCACCTGTATATATAGATATACTGTTTAACCTTGATGAGTCAAACCTCTCTAAGTTGAATGCAGTCACCTCCTTGAGTCAAATTTTTTCAAAGTCCCAGTCTGAATTCTGTGAGAAACAAAGCATTATTAAAGCCCTCCCTAACTCAAAGTAATTTTCTCTCAAACCTCCTCAGGTCTAATTTTTGGATGCCTTTTGGTTAGTATTTCTTTGAAATATGAAGGAGAAAATAAATACAACAAGGGATTTGATGTGTATTGAAAGGAAGTGAAAGACTAATTGAGCAATTGAACCCCTGCCTCCAAGTTCAGCATGCCGTAAACTCATTGAGAAGTAAGTTAAGGTCCATAAATCATTACAATTTCCTGCTTTATGTATACTGTACTGTATAAATGACAATCAAACCCTGATTTTTTGCCATTGTTTTTTCTTGGCATATTTTGTGGCACTAAAAGCAAGGATGCTGGCACCAAATTGGGGGTATTGTATTGGATAAAAGAAAATGCATTTGAGGGCTTCTATACTTGTGGTAAAAACCAGCATTTTTGCAGAATTATTTGGCCATTGAGTCTGCTTTATGAGAGAGAAAGCACACTGCACAAAAATATAATTTAAGGCTCAAATTAACTGTTTTTGTTGAGTACTGTATAAGTATTTTATGATGCAGAATTCATTATTGGATTTTTGCACCAATTGAGTCAATAAGTAAAAGATTGGAACTGTTTTCTGCATAAACTTTTCAGTGAAAGCGCACACAAGTCCAAGATCAGGTCAAATGATTTTTAATTTATTGTAAAGAGAAAACCCAAGATATACTGAGATTCTCTATGCAGTGATGATGGGAATTTCAAATTGAACCATCCAGTAATTGCATGTAAATGCAGAAATAGAAATTTTAAGCGATTATCCCCTGAACAAGGTCATGTGATTCTCATTATAATAACCTAATGATATCCCTGGAAAAGTGCCTTAATTTCTCTGATTTTGGCCTCATTTGCATTCAAGACCTGTGAATTTGTGTGGCACTATGTAAAGTGAGTTGGCACTGAATTGGGGTTTCCCTTGAGAACACCATGTAGGGAAATTTGTGGCACTATACATGAGAGGGTGGCACTAAATTGAGAGTTATTGTCTGCAGTACATAAGAATGTAAGATTCCATCAGATGAAAACGACTGCTGCAATATATCTAATGGGAATCCTAACTGAGAACACCTAGTGTCCTACGTGTTCCTCATCAGAGTTATGCATGATATCAATCCATCAATGGAATAGAATAGAAATGTAGCAAGTCCGAATGCTTTTAATATACTTTCGCTTCATTCGATCATAAAATATTGCTGTATACAGGTCAGTACAGTATATATTATTCTCTCTGAATTTATCCTGAGAGGAAGCATAAATACTCAAGGATTAGCAGGGTCACAGCATATATACAGAACCACTCATTTATTGGAGCAATTGATTATAATTCAAATGCGACGACAGCACTCTACATTAATATATATATATATTCAGTACAGCCTCGAAGAAACTGCTGCCCGTGCTGCTGAGTGATGGTCTTCATCACGCAATTTTGCAAGATTCCATCACGCCTTTTTAGTTTGATTGATTGAATGATTGATTGATTGATTGCAGAGAGTGCATCGGCCCGGCGGTTGCCTCCGGAGTGTCGGACCTTTTGGACGACTACGTGTTGAGTTTCGTGACCAGTTCGGGCATCACCATCGCCATGGTCGTCGTCCTCTTGCTCCACGTCTTGTGCTACAAGCGGAGACGACCAGCATCAGCAGCAGCAGCAGCAGGAAACCCGCCTGTTGCTGCTGGCGACGTCGACATTATTACCAGCATACCATCAGCAAATATAAATGATCAAAAAGAAGAAAAGAATAACCAACCTGTTGGGATGGACGCCGCAATGATGGTTGCTGGTCACGTGGACGAAACGAAGACAGGAGCATCAGTGCTGGTGGTGATGACGAGGAAGAATAGGAATAATAACGAGGCGCCGACGAGAAGAAGGGACGCCGCCGCCGCCGAAGAGGAGGAGGAGGAGGAGGAGACGGATGACGAGAGTTTCGCCGACGCCCAATTGGATCACGCGACGTCGTCGTCGGCAGGACACAAGCAGCATGTTTGACGTAAATAGTATATGATGAAACGGACTGAAGATGAGTAATATACATGATGCAGGACGTGCGGAAGAAGAAGGAGGAGAAGAAGAACGGGGAACTTTTGCCATTTTCTTCGCTTGACTTTGCTCCTCTTTGTCTTTCTTTCTTTCTTTCTTTCTTGACGTGCTTTATTATTCTCATTCCGGTTTCGGTGTGATCATGTTTTGGGCCAGACATTTGCGAAACTGTGAGCGATGACGTTGTTCGTTTTTCTGGGATATTGAGAAAACGGCAGCAGGATCATAAACCCGGTTTTTTTTTTCTTTTTTTAAAACGCATCATGTCCGTGCTGTGCTTTTTATTTGATTTCATCATCATTATTCCTCCGCAGGCGTAATTACAATTTTTACGGAAGAGCCATAATTTATTCCACAGCAATTTTGATATTTGTGATGCATATATTATAGTTTGAAATTTTGCTTATTCGTAATACTGTGCTGTGATGGGAGAATATTTAGATTTTCGCATCATTTCTTTTCTCTCCTATTAATTGTTTCGGGCATAATTCGGCCAGCAGCGGGATTAACTGCTGGGAAATTCAGAATTATATAGGGACGTTTTTGACTTGGCAATGCAATTTAAATCTAAATGTACCTGCTGTGGATCACGACAAAAGCCTTTTAAAAGCCATGTCAGAAATCCTTCGAAAAATAGTTGTACCTCTTGCTGAAACAAGAAAGAGTTTTCATTATTAGTAAATTTTTCACATTTTTGATCCATAACATTTTGGGTCGTGGTGCAGTATTTCCGAATTCAATGCATGATGCAGCAGCAGAAAAAAAAATCCCTATGTACTCCGCCCATTTTCAAGGCAGTAAAATGTTGATATATCTTTGTCAAGAATTGATTAGTTATTTTGTTTTAGGCATACTGTATAAGTGTCTTTTAATTTACGTATCTGATCGTTGAGAAACGTTCAATATAAAATGAGAAAAATGCATACGAGCTTTTCAACTGAGGAAATCCAGGATACGTACCGTACTTGACTCGGATAAAATTCCTGTCTGTAAATAATATGCAGGTTGGAACCATTATGAAAATATTTCTCGTAAAACCTTTCTCGTCTTCGTCTTTATCTCATCATTTCAATAAGCAACAAAAGGCCTCTCGTCGTGATTGATTGATCATGCTGGTCAATTGCATCATCATGAGTTCTGATGCCGGAGGATTCGAGTTGGGATTTACTTCAAACCTGACATTGCCTGATGATTGATGATGATCATCATCATCAGTATTTCTGCTTGACGGTCGACAATATAAATGAAGGTAAAATACTGTATCCTGTTCTGATGAATACTCCGTTTAATTTCAGCTTGAACGAATCACTGTTCCAAAACATGTAAACATTTCAATGAATGTAAGCTGTTTCACTATATACAGCTAAATAAAAAATACAGTATATGCAATTATGCATCACTTCATTTGGAAACTTTTCATGTGGAGAATATGAGGGCAGCTTATATATATATATATATGAATGAAAGGATCATGTTTGCGGTGGCAAAGAGTGAAAAGACGTCCTCGAATGAAATGAATGCTGGCCAAGATGAACTAGATGACGCACCAGCTGATGCAGGAGGAGGAGGAATGAGCATGACGAGGGAAGACGACGAGGCGGCGACACCTAGTGGCGGGCTGTTGGACAAGCTGAGGAGCTGGACACGGCTGCAGCTCCTGATGATTGCGACTATTGCCATTGCTGAGTGTGCTGGCTTTGCGAGTCTCTCTGTCATTGCCCCGTTCTTCCCACCATTGGTGAGCCCACAGCAGTACTGTATTTATATTTATTTATTTATTCATTTATTTATTTATACAGAGCACAGATTTGCATATACAGTGTACAGCATTACAATTCACATTATTGATCTAATTACTGTCCTGATATGCTGTACAATACTGTATATATTGATCTGAAATTGAAATTGATAATTTTAATGGCAACTGCTATATGCAATTATACTCACCAGCTTCAGCATGTGTATACAGTATAGGAATATACAGCATCATGCATTAATATATACGGGCAATGACTTGGTACTGCATACAGTATACTGTACAGTACTGTATGCAGTATTTATTACCTTCTGGGGATATTGTAATGGTGATGGTGGATGAGATAAAAAGGTAATAAATTATTACCCCTGATGATGATGATGATGAGTAAGCATGAAGAATAAAGCTTTCCAATCATCTGCGCATTATACACATGGTCATTGAATCAGTTCGAATCTACTGACAGAATTTTGAAATTTATTTATTATATTTTGCTTTGATTATCTTGAGCATTATTAAAACTTATTCATCTTTCCTTACTGCATTCCTGTCTATATGCTCACTCTTGCCACTGTGTCTGTGTATTTCTTCTCTTTCTTTCTCTTTTATTTTTTTTTGACAGGCAGCATCCAAGGGAATGCGCAAGAACACAATTGGCCTGGTTTTCAGTTCATTCGCATTTGCAGGATTCATCTCGGCTCCACTAGCTGGACTGCTGGTGATTCCTTGTTTTGGCTCAATTTTTGACTGAATATAATTTTTGCGGACACGTTTCTGAGCCCCCCGCATTAATTATTTTTTATTCTTGCAAATGTGCAAGAATGGTTTCATCAGTACATACTATTATATATAGTTCATGCCTTCTTTTTTTTGTTGCAGGTGCCGAAAATTGGAATAAAAATAATGCTGGTGGGGTCTGTCCTCTCTGCTGGAGCAGCAACCATTTGTTTTGGGTGTGTGTTTACATAAAATTTACATATTACAGTATTGTACAGCACCAGCAGTTTTTTTTTTTACTATACAGTGGCCCCCCGCCTAACAGACCTCCCATGTAAGGGATTTTCGCCAAACAGACCAGCTCTGCAAGCAGTTTTTCCTCCCGCTCAACAGACAAAATCCGCCAAACAGACTTCTTTTGGTTTAAAATTAGTGTTGAAAATTGAAATTTTTAATTTTTTATGTAATTGAATGTGTGTAAAGGAATTTTTGTCTAACAGACTCATCCCTTGCACAAATCAAGTCTGTTAGACGGGGGTTGACTGTACTCATCATTGAGTAACTATAAAACCTTAACCTTAACTTGCCTGAATGTCAATCATTATCATTGTTACTGTGTGTTGAAGAGGATTCAGAATCAGATTTACTAACATACTGTACCGTATTTTATTAGGATTGATTGGCAAGATTTGTTGGAAAATTATCCAACAGTATTGAATTTGCATGGTATAATGTTCACCTTCCTGTATTGAGTCCCAATGATATATGATGGGTCAATGATTTTGTTGTTGCAGAATGTTGAAAGATATACAGGATGAAGGTTGGTTTTCTGCTGGGGCATTTGGCTTCAGAATGCTGCAAGGCTTCAGTTTCAGCTTCTTCCTCACTGCGGTATTTTCCATTGCCACCACCATTTTCCAGTCGCAAATGGGCCTCATTTTGGCGAGTCTTGAATTATATGAACTTCGACTTTCATTTTTCACAGAGCTTGTTCGATTACAATGCTATAAAATGTGCCTATCATTTTTTTTAGCCGTAATTTCTCTGAATTATCATAATATATAGTTTCGTATTTTTGCAGAGTATTTTGGAAATGATGGTGGGCATTGGGATATCTATTGGGCCACCAATAGGAAGTGGATTGTTTGCTGTAAGTGTGTTATACGAACTCAATTTTCCTAATATTCAAAACAATTAAGACAAGAATGTGTCCTAGAAATTGAAAGTGTGCTGTGCTTGTTTTGTGCAAAAATTGTCCATGCGAAAAATCTTGCAACATCTTGATTGGGATATGTGACACAAACGGAAATGCATATTATTATACATTTTAATTTGTCTTTTCATGATTTTTTGCTGTGATTTTACTTTTCTGCTTATTGTTGTGAGAGGAGGAATGTACCTCAGTATACAGTCAACCCCCGTCTAACGGACTTGATTCATGCAAGGGACAAGTCTGTTAGACAAAAAGTCCTTTACACAAATTCAATTACATAAAAAATTAAAAATTTCAATTTTCAACACTAATTTTAAACCAAAAGAAGTCTGTTTGGCGGATTTTGTCTGTTGAGCGGGAGGAAAAACTGCTTGCAGAGCTGGTCTGTTTGGCAAAAATCCCTTACATGAGAGGTCTGTTAGGCGGGGGGCCACTGTACTTGATAGCTGTTGAAGAATGCAGTTTGGAAGATTTTTGTCAATTTTGGAGCAATTATTGGAGATTTTAGTAATGCAGATTGCGATGTTTCAATAGGTTCCACACATCATACATGTTCCCAAAGGTTTATTTCTGCTGATATTTTTGCTTTCCAAGTAAGTACAGTACATAAATTTGCCCATGTTTCAGAATGGAATTTTTTATTTATTTTTTAATCAAAAGATGGCTCTTTAACTGGCTGGTTTTTTGTGTGTCCCAATTGTGAGAATTCATGCAGTGGTGATTTATTTTACACAGGTGGGAGGCTACAAGTTACCATTCATCTTTCTTGGTGTTGTGCTGTGCATCACAGCTGTTCCACTCATCTTTGTTTTGCCATCTACTAAAGGTTAAGATTTGTATATGTGATGTACATACATTATATAAGAGCAAGAAAGAAGCTTGATTATTTATGCAGCTTCCATAATTTTTGATGATTTTGCGCAGTTCTTTTTATTTTTTAAATCATGTCTGATGTTGATGATTATAATGCATATTTGCAGAGTTTCTCAAGTGGCATGAGGACCTGATGCAAAAATCAGACAGCAGCGTGAAAAGGAAATCCATATGGAAGCTGTTGGTATCCTATGAACCCATGTTGGTACTGTGCACCATAGTGGTGGCCAGCATATCTTATATCTACTACCATTCCATTTTACAGCCTTTCTTAGAGGAAAAGGTGAGTTTTTGCAGGTGTAAATGCATATAATTTCTTTGAATTGCAGCATTTTTTCAACCTCTCTTGAACCAGCATTCTAATTATGTATAATTCATCATCTCCTCAAAATTCAACAGGGTGTTTTAATAACACACAAAGGGAAAATTCTGGGAATAGATTTTATCTCTCAAAATGGAAACTCTAGAGAGGTTACAAGTATACAACTGATGGAGTTTCCATGTGTACTTGTGCATAGGGATATCTTAAAATTGGATCCCCTTCACAGCCGCCACATTGGCCGCCATTTTGGCAGCTGTGAAGGCGGCTGTTGATGGAAATGGTGGAATTGCCTTGGATGACCTGGAGGCAACCCTGAGAAAGAATGCCAAGTTGATTTCAAAAATTCTGAGGGGAAAGCTGGGCTACAACAAAAAAGAGGGCGCCTCATTTTTTGAGTGGAGAGCAAAACTCTATACAGTATATGAATGAATTTTGCAAAAAATTTAAAAAAAATTGTTAAACCGGGCTGATTTTTTGTGTGTGTGCCAAAGAATATGTTTTGGCTAGAGAATAAATTTTTTTCAGCTCAATTGTATGCCATTTTCATTGCTACTCCGAGAACTTTTGTTAGAACCCTCGTATACAATAATATATGCATGCAAATGGATGGATGCATTAATTTTTTATTCATATTACACTGTCTTCAAAATATATATGTAGAATATGAATATGACATTTACATATACAGTATGTATATGCATGTACAGTATTTATTTTTTTCTTTGTTCCTCTGGAAGTTTGGCACAAAGGAGACAGAGGCTGGCTTTGTGTTTTTAGCCAGTCTTGGCAGCTACTGTCTCACAATTCCTCTATCTGGCATCTTGTCAGATTCGTACCCTCAGTACAAGTACCTGCAAATCATGGCTGGACTTGCTTGGGCCTCATTGGGGTCACTGATGGTGGGTCCTGCCCCGTTTCTGCTTCCTGTGCTCCCACGGTGAGTCTGGAAAAAATAAACACAGCATTAAAGTTAATCTCAGGCATGAGTAGGTGTAACTTTGGTAACATTTGTTGAGGAATTAATCAACTCTACATAAAGATTGAACCATGGGTGAGTGGGGAAATGTTGGAAAGGATAAGACAGGGCAATCAGCCAGTTTGCAGCCAGGAATGTGTAACAAAGGGGGCACCTTAGTTATACATAACATGCCTAGTTTTGTCTGGTTCAATCACTGTCCACAACAAAGCCCAATATAATAAAATAAAATAATGCTTTACAATATATGTAAAAATGCAACACACATCCAATAAATACAGTAGGAAATTTTTTGCACACAAATTCAGGTTGCAATATCACAAAAATGCAATAGAATCCAAAAAATGGGGTTGGAATGTTTCAGGGATGTTTACAGTGTAATATAGGTAATTGAATGAACTGAATGTTAAAGAAAGGGTGAAACTGGGTTTTCATATGTTTCAGTTGTATGCTTTGTTTAGGCCAGCTGACCAAAGTACATAATCTTTTCCCTGTCTCTGAGTAATGAAATTTGAAAAAGTTGTGCATCTACCAGAAGTGGATCCACAAAGAAAAATTGGACCAGAATTCCGGTCCTGGGACCTGACTTCCCTGGACCTCACTTATTATATCATTCCCCAACAATAATATTCAAATCCTATAGGAGACTGCCTGGAACAGCACTGAAGTGTTGCCAAACGATTGGAATAATTTAGTTAAAACAAAATATGGAATGGGTGAAACTTTGTTGGATCTATTAAAAAAAGTTTTCAAAGCTTATGAACCATCCCTCAAATATGCGTATGTTTGTAAGCTGTGCCTTTGCAATAATTTCTGCATATTCAGTTTTGTACAAAAGAGTGTATACCGGTATATACTGTATATCTACACATGAGAATCGAATTTTATTTGGTTGCCCATTTATTCCCACAGGAATTTGGTCACCACAATAGTGGGATTGGTGTTTGCTGGCTCTGGTGTATCACTGGCAACAGTGCCTACATTTCAGGGCTTCACCGACGTCACAATGTATGCCAATAACAAATACAGTATATGTACATATATATATATATATATATATGTATGTATGGATTCGTTATATAGAGTATAAAGCTACTGTATTCAGCATTTCAATGAATTCACAGAGCTGCAGGGTTTCCAGCAGACATGAATACATTTGGCATGACATCTGCCCTTTGGAATTCTGCTTGGGCTCTTGGGTATGATGCTTCCATCTTGGTTCTATAGTTAGCAATAATATTCTCATTCATGAAAGTCATGATATTCAACTCTTGGAAATAAGTGCCATCATTCACAATTGTAGAAAAAAGCTGCCCTATTACTATAATATATTTTTGAAGCTTAAACATCCTGCAACTGTATTCTTCTGCAATCTTGTACCAGCAGTTACAGTCAACCCCCACACAACGGACTTGATCCAAGAACAGACTGGTCTGTTAAGTAAGAAGTCTGCTATGCAAATTCAATTACTAAAAAAAATAACTTTTGACTGTTACCATTAAATTTTAAACCAACAAAAGTCTGTTATGGAGATTTAGTCCATTGCACAGGAGGGAAAACTGCCTCCAGAAATGGTCTGTTGTGCAAAAATCCATTGTGATGGAGGTCCATTTTGCAAAGTTGACTGTATTTGCACCAGGAAAAGGCATGGGATGCTCTACAAGTATATATTGTATGGCTTTTCCCATCAAGCATGCATAGATATACAACAGTACTGGTGCATAAACAGTACTGTATACTGCAATATTTTGGAAAACAGGATCACCCAAATTTCAATTTAGGCATGAATTGGGCCTGAATTCAATTAATTTTTAATTGTTTTTATTTCCATACAAGTATGTTTATGCTCTGGTACAGTTTAACTTTGATAACTCAAATATACCTCCATATTTTTCAAATCCCTCTCTGAAACCCCCCCCCCCCCCCCNACCCCCCCCCCCCCCCCCCCCCCCCCCCCCCCAGAAACAAAATGCATGAAAACCCTCCCCAGCTCAAATTAAGGCTTTTCCTCTGAAACCTCGGTATTTCGAATTTTCTGAAGCCTTTTGGCAAGTTTTTTCTTGCTACAGTAACTAAGAAAAGCAACAAAAAATCCCTTAATGCTGTGTATTTATTGAAAATAAGTGAAATACAACACTAAAATTGGGCAAATTAACCCTCTCATCCAAGGCTCAGCATCCTGTCAACTCACTCAAAAAGCAATTCAAAGCCCATCATCATTTACAATTTTAATGCAATTCTTTCATGCTTCCCTTGACAAAAAATGCTTGTTTCCCTAATAAGTCGAAACCACCTTTATAGTCAAAATTACCTATTTTTTAAACTAATTATTTGTTTGCTTATTCCTCTGTTATGTGTGTGCGTGGTGCAGAGAGTGCATTGGGCCAGCTATTGCCTCAGGCATGTCGGACCTGCTTGATGACTACGTGCTCAGTTTCCTCGTCAATTCCTGCATCACATTTACCATGGCAGCCATCCTCCTGTTCCACTTCCTGTTCTACGTCCGAAGGAATGCGAAAAAAGGTGATGCTGGCATCATCAGGAATAATGACGCCATGACGAATGCAGCAGCAGCAGCAAGGGCAGGTGATGCTCCTGCTGATGCTGGTGACCAGCAGGAGAACAATTATAGGACACCAGCAGCAGCAGAAGGAAACATTGACAATACCATCAACAATGCAGCACTTTTAAATAAGAGGAGCCCTCAATAAGATAATAATCAGCCATGACCATTTATTTAGATATACGCCTCTCAGGACTTGAATTTTTAAAAATTATAACTGCCAAATTGTCCTTTTTCCTGTGCATCCACCGCTGATTCCATTTTGGCACTTTTCCCCCTGAATGTCCATTGGTTTGATGGTCATCTTACCCAATGTTCCCCAACCCATGGTCTTAAGACTGGCGCTGCTGAAATATTTTGCTGGTCCACATACAATTTTCTGCAGCATAATAAGTTGACAAAATGAGCAATGAAGTCTGTGTACCTTTATTTGAAATGTCCAAAAGAAACTGGCAGTTCTAAATTATCTGATGAAAAATTAGAAGTTGGCTTTTCTCCTAATAAAACACTTCAGACAAATTTTCACCTGTTGAAATAGATTATTCTTCAAGCCTATCTGTCTAATTTTTAACCTTTTGGCAGCACTGCCAGGAATTATTTGCAAAACTCCTTGCTGCCACAAAAAAAAATTGAGAACCTCGCATGAGCTTAAGTTGAATAATTTAACTTAACTTTCTAGCATTCCTGCAGAAAAAATGTTGTAAAAAATATATCCCTTAATGTTGGGTGGCTTTTTTTCTGCATTCCTGCCATAGGATTACCATTGAGGGATTGTGAAGAAAACAATGGTTTTTTCTATCCCAGATTTGTCCCAACCTTGGCTACTGGGCCAAATCTGTGTTTTGGTGACCTTCAGTCAAACCAAATTGCAGAAGTGTACAAGAATTTCCTGGCACCACCATGCAATGGAAAAAAACCTGCTGCCATCCAAGGGTTTAGGACATTGCACTATTTTATAGCTGCTATTGGTTCTTAATTTTTGCACGCAAGCAAAACCTTTTGAAGTGCCTGCCATGAAGTCTTTCAAGCAAAACTTTTTGAGTCAGTAAAAAGTTCTTGGAAATTTGGCAGTCCACAAGAATTAAAAAAAAAAATTTGCCAGCCATCCACAGGCCCAACATGGTTGGGTTAAGCTCTAATCCAGGGGTACTCAAAATACAGTCCATGGTCAGATCTGGCCCATGGAAGCTTTACATCTGGCCCACATCAGAATGATCAGAGACAGCATGGAAAATCACTACCTAAAATAGAAAATCCCCAAACATATAGATTGCCAAATTTTCTTAATCAGTAAATTTTATGGGGACTTTTACTAGGACTTCAAGAAAGTTTGTATGCTTGCTTCTGGGAAGATGGATCAATAGAACATTGGGCGCAGGAATAGGGGATGCCAGTGGTTCTGCTTTTCAAATTGAAGGTCAGGATATCTTTCATCTTTGAATTGTAATTGTCCCCCAGCATTGACCATTGTGTTTTTAATTTAATTTTATCCATTGATGGAGGAAAGGTGCGAAGTACCCGAATTTTTAGCCTGGCACAAATATAAGTGTACTGTACCATGAATTGAGAATGCAAATGTGAGTTCCATAAATGGCTCTGCAAGTAAGAAAAGCTGCATGGGAAATCTTCAATCTAGATTGTGATGTGCATCTATCCAGTAAATTGTTGCTAGGCTAATAGTTCAAAGCCATCATGGAATTCAGCATTTTGAATTCAATGGAATAAGTAAATTGAGATTAGAAAGTGGGCTTTTCATCCATTGTCTTGGCCCCGCATAATGCTCCATTTTTTTACATGCAGCCAACCCTAGCTACATGTGAATTGGGCATCACTGCTCTAATCTAAACTAATGCAGTCAAACCCTGTTATACAGTATTATCAAACTTCAATATCTGTTTAAGGGACTAAAAGTTCGCCACCAGGAACAAAGATGTCGCTCCCCCTCTTCTGAAAATCGCTCTTGAGGAAAGAAAATTCAATATTGTCCATAAATATCGACTCTGAATGAATAAGTAACGAACATTCTTAAGGATATGATGAAAACCCATGCAAGAATATCATTAGTCAACCGCAAAGTTTTTATTTTCATCCCGATTTCAAGTTCAAAAAAAAAAAAACCTCATGGACACAACAGAACAAATTCTTTTCCCGTTTCGTGACTATAATCCGAAACACACACACTCACACTCCCCCTCGACGTTTTCTTTCTTTCTTTCAGTCTGTATAATAAAATAATCCGCGAATCGCACGGGGGGGATCAAAAAGGGGGCGAAAGTCGTCTCGTGATACAGCAATTCGTCGCGATATGCGCTTTCACAATTCCCCGAATAGCCACATTCGGTCAAAGGGGGGGCATGGAACAAGAGATATGCTCTTTGATGAGAAGAGAAAAAAAGTCTGTCTGTCTCGATTACTTAGGAACAGGAATGTTATCCTCCTTGATGATGGTGCAGCAACAGCTCGAGTCAGAGAGACCCGAGGAAGGAGAGAGACGTACAGAGAGAAAAAAAATACGAAAACAAACATGGATCCGATCTTATTCTCACTTGTTCTTCTCCCTCAACCTCGACTCTTTCCCCTCGTCTCTGCTACTCGCAAATGGCAATAATAAGAAATAACAATAATAATAATAAGGAAATCTGAGGACAGAGAGAGAGAGCGAGAGAGTCACCGAAGAAAAAGAAATTGGAAAGAACTCATCGGAATATCTCAGCGTCGACACGGCAGAGGTCGCCCAGGGTTGCCAGCGGGGTGTTGCGCATTCTCCGCCTCCAACATGGCGTCCAGCTCGTCCGTCAAGTCTGCCAACATGTTGCCAATGTCGTTGAGCACGTCTCCGGACTCGGCACGCACGTCTCCTCCTCCTCCTCCTCCTCCAGATGACGCCCCTCTGCAATACCATACAAGACTTCCTTGTTACTTTGCTTCATTCATTTTCTCAACCATGCAGCATGAAAATAGTGATTGAGCAATTGTTATACAAGCTTCATTTGCCGCTTTTCAGTATTCACAACATTGAAACATCCAGTCCACAAAAAAAAAAATACTAGCATTGTTCCAGTTGGATGCGGCCTCTGATAATGTATTTCCATGCATAGGTGCGATTTTACACATACAGTAATTCTTGACACAGCTCATGATGTTCTAAGGTTTTGGGATTTTTTTAAATGAAAAAATGTATTTCAGATTCACTGCATGATGATGAGTGAAAACTTCCCAGTTACAGCCGGAGTTCTTCACCCTTGTCACAGGGTGATACAATTTTGTCAGGCCAGCTAGAAAATTGGAATTCTTTTGTTCTTTCAACCAGTATTTATTAGCTGGCCTGACAAGTTTTCACTAACCATCATGCTGTGAATTGAAAATGTTAAAACCCATAGCCTTGGATTATAATGGACTATTTCATGACTATTTTTTTCACAATTACAGCAACTGCAAAATAACTGTAAATCATAACAGCAATTTTGTGCAATTCCTGAGCACAAATTAAAGCAAAAGTGGTGTTCAGCCTGTTCCCAGAGCATCAAGTGTTTGAACAGTGCAAAAAGAATCTTTGAGGAGAATTCATATGACTCTGAGATTTTTTCCTGGTCCTCTAAGATTTGGGAGAGTATTGTACCTAGCAGTGAATGAAAGTCGTTTACATATGCAGTAGGGCTTTCAACATATACAGACAATCCTACTTCCACATCTAGAGATACAGTACTGTACTTTCGAACTGAAAATAAAATCTGCCTTATGATCTCTTGACAGTGACTCCAGATTTGGACACATTGCCAAAACGTCCCCTCGAAGTGTGCAGATTTTCTTTTTTTCTTTTGGACAGCGATTTCTGTGCTTCAAAACCAAAGAACAATTTTAGAGGACTTCTTCCAATTTTTTGGTGAACAATCATAAGATATCAAAATCTTTTTTTTTTTCATTGAAGTTACACCTCAACTATGAGCTGAATATTTTTTATTCACATCCCTTTAATGCCATAATTATCACACTTGAAGCAGCACAAGAAACTTAATCTTTCAGCAACCAAAGTACTGTATTTAACCCACTTCCATCTCAAGAGTGGGGAAAATCGTAACCAACCTTGCAGCAGCTGCAGGATCACTCCAATTATAAAAGTCGTTGGGTGGACCAGATGCCTTCCCTGCAAAACCAGAAAGCAAACATTTGTGAATTTCAGTAACACTACCATCATCATCATCAGCATATCAGTGCAGACAATTGTTTCCCGAATTCAATGAATGCCACGAACAAAATAATTGAATGAATAAATGCACTTGCTGCAACTCACCAAAGAAATGCCCCGGGTGAGCGCCGCCAGATGGCGCTGCCTGGGCGCCACCTGCAGTTTCCTCCGCCGCATCCTGCGACTGGGGACAGTGTTGCCGCCCAGCCCGCGACTTGATTGTTCCCGCGTTCTCATTGGCAAAGGGCAACGAGTCCGATTCAGTGCTTGAAGTTGACTTCAAAACGAAAAAATGAAAGGAAAAAAGTTAAAGAGAGTGGAATAGACAATGACGACAATTGCAATTCCAGGGGAAAATCTGCTGGGTCTAGGGCAATTTGAGACGGAAACAATTCATGACAGGGACTATTTCAGACAAAAACAGTTGGAGACTATTTGAGACAGTCCTGTGATCTACATAAGTTCTGCATCCTTTCGTATGCTTTTTTTACATTCGTTATACTGTAATTGCATTTATAACACGAGAGCTGTGGAATAATGAAGCTGAGAATATCCTATGAGCCTAACAACAAGAGATTTTTTTTGTTGGTTTTTGAAAAACCGATTTTCTCCCTAGCTTCCATTCATCTCTTGATCCATTTTCACCAATTTTATTACATTTTTTATTTAAAAAAAAGGTGATGAATTATGTTGCCCTGGTTTTGAAAAATAGGTAAAAAAAGAAAAGAAATGCATATCAAGGTTCGGTCTTATTTTCGCCATTTCTAATGTGTCTGAAAATGATCCATTCTCAGACTGTCTCAGTCTCAAATTTTTTTCACATAACAAAAAATTGACTTTCTTCATCAATAGCTTCATTTTTACAAAAAGTCTTCAGCCAATCGCATCTTTCCTTGCTGAGCTGGTGCTTTCAGCACCTTTAAAACTCTGAATATATTTTCTCATTCACGTAGATTTTATATACAGTAGTACCAAAAGTATCTGAAATTGCGATGAGGGACGACTCTCTCTCTCTCACACACACAAACACACCTTGAAAGAACCATTGGAGTCTTGGCGCCTTTGACGGAAGCCCAGCAAATGCTGGTGCTCCACGTCCGAGGAGTCCTCGCTGTCTGGCGGAGACGGAGAGGCAGACTTGTTGGACATGGGTCTTCTCTTGCTAGTGGCGGTGCCGCTCTGGAAGGCGTCAAGCCGGTGTCTCACGCTGGCACTCGCCAACGGTGGCGAGGGAGCAGAAACAACTGGTTGCCTCAGGGCCGCCGCCGCTGCAACTCCTGCTGCTGGCGGCGGCGGCGCCACCTTCCTGTGCGCCACCAGCGGTGACGGCGGCGGTGGGAACTCTTCCTCCTCCTCTTCCTCTCGCTCTCCTTGTTCTCCTACAATAACAGAAAAATGTGAATTACAACAATCGGAACTTTTTTTAAAATTAGTTCTCCGGTTTATCAGAAATTAGGAAGAATAAAAAAAAAGTTAATGGCAATTTTTCTCAACTTCAAGACACAGAAATTACTTGCGCAGACAAAGAAAAAAAAGAAACACAAAATCACATCTTTTGGCACCAAAAAGAGCCCAATAAGCAAAGAAAATATTATCAAGTCTTGCTGCACTGTTCAAACATGATGGGATAAACTCCAAAAAAAACACAAAATTAGCCTCTTTCGATTTTAGACTTATAATGGAACTTATTTTAATTTTTCGAATATAAAATGCCTCAATTTGTTCAAGAGGAACAAATTTTTGTTTTTCAATAAATTTAGGATAAAGTCTGTATCTCGAACTGAAAACACGAATAGTGTGCAAAATAAAACCGAGACACGTACTCGGAAAGTCGTCGGAACTGTGCAGCGGCGGCGGCGGAGGCGGCAAGAGACTCAGCTGCGAGTCCGACAAGGACGACTGCTGGTGATGGACGCCACCAGCGACGACGATCATCGAGTCCGTCCTCTTCGGCGTCGGCGGCGGGACTTTCCGCGCCGACACCGACGCCATCTCGCCGCCTCGACACACGTCCTCTTCCACGTAGACGCCGCTGTCGTGCGCCGCCCTCGTGTCTTCCCCAATAACACCGCCGCCGCCTCCGTCCTGGCCAGACACTGTCAACGAGCTCTTCCGGCGCAGCGTCGTGGTAGCTTCATGAAAAAAAAAAAAAAAAGATTCAACTTCAGTTTTGTATTTGCGAAACAGTGAACAGCTGGAGATTGCGCGAGACCACTCACATTCACAGTTGCTTTGGGAGGAGGAACGCGGTCTTCTCGGCAGAGTTCCGCCGCCAGCGAGTTCATAGCAGGTCATCAAAGCGTGCTTCTTCTCATTGGTCGGTGTGATGTCTCCGTCGTCGAACGAGCGCCGCCACGTGTGACCCGACACCACTTGCTGGTTCATCGTCAGCGACATCTGGCGCTGCGAATGATAATAATCATAATAATTAAGAACCTGGTTTTCAAGTCTCCGTTTTTGAATTCCCTTAGGAACAATGCTTCAACAATCTCCACAACTCGAAGGCTTCCACTCTCGTCAAACCTCTACATGAATAATTATTTTATATTATTTTCTTGACACAAGAAAGAGAAAAGCAATTTAAAAAAAGTAACGACGTGTTTTGAAAGGAAGTTTCCGACTAATTTGGCAAATCAACCGTTTCCTCCCAAGTTCAACATCCTATGAACTGATTTTAAAAAGCAGTTCAAGGCCTCGAAATATCACCAACTATAATCTCCAGGAATTTTTCTTCCTTTCTCTCAACAAAAATGCTCAATTCTTTCAGAAATGCCTTTTTTCCCCTTTCAAAAGATATTACAGTCACGAAAAATAATTCCGAGCCCTGATGGACGCCTGGAAAGAGGCAACAATCACCTGCTGCTGCTGAGGGTGTTGGTGAAGGTAGTCGAGAACCCCGTTGGTGTAGCCAGGCTGTTGCTGCTGCTGTAGCGGATCCCCCGCGACGACGCCATTCTGTTGCTGCCAGTGCATCGACGGCGGCGTCCCTGGAGACGTTCTCAACTTGGGCATGGGCACGAGGCCGGACGGAGACACGAATTGAGACTGGTGAAAACTTCCTCCAGATAATGACGACTGTTGTTGCTGTTGTTGTTGGAAAAGAGACGGCCCGAATGCCGGGGACGGAATCCCTGGACTATGTCTGGGCTGCGGATGATGAAAACAGCCGCCTTCCAAGCTCTCCACTGAGTTCCCTCTGCCATGCACCTGATGGGAAAATGACGACAAAAACAATCAAATGAATCCCGCATCGACATTGACGGAAAAAACAAGCATGCAGAATTTCACACAAATTCTAGGCATCAGTTATTACAGAACTGGAAAAAAAATTGATTCGAATCACATTTTTCCATTTTAAAAAATTAATGTCCAGGACGTACGACACCTGAGTAATGTATGCAAAATTTCAATTCGATCGGTGTGATTATTGTCGATTAAGGGAGATTTTCTTCGCATCACCGTCGCAAATTTATCATTTTTTTTACGCGAGAGACAAGTTGAAAAACATGCTACACATGTTTTTAAAAAAATGCGAAATTATTGTGGCATCAAAAAATCCCGGTTTCATACAGCATCTGCTGCTCACCTGCACACTGATGAGACCCTGAGGCCTGGGAAACCCCATAGAAATAGGTGCTGGTGCAGCGGACTGGAAGCCCATGTTGTTGTTGTTGTTGGGGAAATACTTGGACGTCAGGGCGATCCGATGCGGCGGCGTGCCAGGAGTCTTGTAATGACCGCCACCGACGCCGCTGGTCATGGTTGAAGACGGCGTCGACGAGGATGAAGACGACGACGACGAGGAAGAAGAAGACGAAGAAGAACAGGACGACGGCTGTTCCTGGTGGAACGTCCGCATTTGCTGGTGCAGCATTGACGACGGCGACGATGATGACGACGACGACGACGGCACAATGGGCAGCGACGCCCCATTCCCGCCCGACACCACACCGTCCACGATGATCGGCGAGGACCCGTAAGTGTTTATGGCAACAGTTTCCTGCGAAAAAAATATACAACACAATAAAGCAACAACGAAAAAGAAGCCTGAAACAATCCGTCAATTGAACAATCGATCACTAATATGCATCATTTAAACCTCATTGAATCCAATCTTCATATTTCGAATTTTCTCAAGTCCCCTGTCTGATTTTCCTTCAAGAAAATGCACTACAAACCTCCGTAACTCGAGTTTTCGGGAGGCCGCCTTTTGGTTCATACAGTATTTTAAAGACACAGGAAAAACAGAGAAGCAATAAAAAAAATGTACCGCTGTGTTTTGAAAGGAAGCGAATGAAAAATTGGGCGAACAACCCTCGTCTTCAAGTCAAGCATCCTGTTAACCTAATTCAAGAAGCAATTCAAGGTCTGGAATACTGTACTACCGATTACAATATCATTTGATTCTTTCTTTCCCCCAACACAAATGCTTGGTTTCCTAAATTTAATCGGTTTACTGCAGTATTAGTTCGACTGCTTGTACAGTTGTATAGTGTTATTGATTATACGGCGACGTCCACAGTTGCAGCGACATCTGCGCGCGGCATTTGAAAAACTCCAAGCTTCTAGAGAAGGGACAGTAATGGAAAAGAGAGGTCGCGCACCTGGAAACCCTTGGATTTGCTATCACAGAAGGCGGGCGACACGGCGGACACCGAGGACGGGTGCAACTGGTGCTGGTGGACTTGGTGATGATGATTGGTGAGCAGCAATTTGCCCGGCGGACGTTTCCCACTCAGAATGTCCTTGACTCGCTTGACGGCCAGCATGATCTTCTTCTGGTGGCCCAGACGCGAGATGCCGATCTCCTCCAGGTCCTCCCACTGCAACTCCGTCGCCTGCTCCACCGTCGCGTAGCCCTGCTGCACCAGGAACGGCAGGTACTCCGACAGTCCAATGGCACCCAGCCACTCGGCCAGGCTCGCCTGTCGTCATTCAACATCAATCAATCAATCACTTATTTCATTCACATGGAACACACAAACAAACAAAAAACACACACACTTCCAGGGAATATCCCGGTAATATCACATGTTTACTTGAGTACCATGCGCACCTTTTTTCAGCAAAATCAAGGCAGAAAAGTGGGGAGCGCGTAATATGCAGGTATATATTATATTTTCTGGACTCAAAAAAGGAGAGAAAATAGTAGTGCAAGCCATAAGTGATACCTATGTACAGCAAAACCCCAACATATGGACAATTCAACTTAGGGACACTTGAAACTAAAAAAAAATCTGCTCAAAATATGCCCAACGTCTCAATATATGGGCACTTTTCCAACATTTCTAGAGAAATTTAAATTATTCATTTTCCAAACTTTAGATATAAAGTATCTATAAGAAATTGAGCAATTTTATACTCACAAAAAATTAGAAATGGATTCCATCATAAATTTACTCAAATTTATAATAAAAAACAGGTTTATTTTGGCTTCTTATTTTGAGCATTCCCAATCATTTGAGCACAGTACAGCAATTTGTATTATTTCTTCGATTTTTGGGATTCTTCTGAAACCTAAAGATAAAATTCGCGCCATTATTTTGCACAGTTACATTCTGTATCTTCAAGTTGAGAAACAGATTCCATTCAATTTTTGGAGGGATTCATTCCTAATTTTTGATTAACCAGAGAACCAATTAAAGAAGGTCCCATTGATCCGACATGCGGACATTCTGACATAGGGACCAGGTCCAAGCACCAATTACGTCCACAGCTTGAGGTCTCACCATGGGTGCAAATAATGAACAAGGAATTCTGTTCGGCTCAAATCCAGTTAAAATGCTTCATCTTCGTTTATTTTCTATAGGATTATTTTGTTCTGTATTATAATTTTTATGATTTTCAACCTAGTAAGACTGAGGTTTGCATCATCTGCAGACACACATTTCTGGCCAAATTTTGTGGCAAAAAAAAATGAAGTGCGCGTGATGATACTTTGGTAGATACGGTATCCGCAAAAATTGGTACAAGAGGCTTTTTGTTATCAAGACAACAAAAAGGCACATAACTCTCATTGTCGCCACGTGAGAATCGCTTCGCTTACCGGAACATAATCTGGCAGGCCGTCGGATATATTCAACTTTGCGATTTCAGCTTTCAACCTCTTCCTGTGACTCGGTTTTGTGATTCCAATAGCTGTCAAGTCCTGGAATTGCAAACAAAACATTTGCATGAATAAATTTCACAAAAAGAAAAGTGAGAAAGTCACATGGAATACAGAGTACGGGAATTTCTTGAAAAAAATGCTGCACAATACAAAAGAATTTGACATGAGTCTCGGAATGTAAATTTAACAAACCGAACAAAATATGATTTACTTGAGGGAAATTTTTCATTTAATGAATTATTTTAATTAAATTTGTCTTTACATCATATTATCTATCATTCATAGAACAAAGATTACGAAGGCGAGTCTGAAAATCAAACGGGGCTCAATCGCAAAATAAAAAAAAAAATCATTGAGGAAAAATTGCACGATTCTCAATTTATGCGATGATTCAGATCAACGCAAAAAAATAAATCATCGATACTGCAAGAATATTCCCATTTCCACTTGCAAACGAAATCGCCTTCATTTTTGTGCAAAAAAAAATGAAATCGAGCTTTTGCAATCGATGGCGTCTCGTGGATTAATGATGAAACCGGATGCTGATTATGTACTTCAATTTCAAATACAGTAGCCAGAGGCGAAGAAAGCAGGCTACAGAAACAATAATTACGCACTTCCGGGGTCATCCGGGAAATGGTGGGCATGTCGTAACCAGCTCTCAGAAATAGATTGTAGTACTCCTCGAACCTCAGGTCCGTCAGCCACACATTCAGCACTTCCGAGTCCTGCAGAAAATAAAAAATCGAACAAAAATAAATATACTTTGATTTAAAAAAAAACAGGAAGCACTTTAAATTGTTTGTGACGAAAATCCTAGCAGGGAATTTTTGAGTCATTTAGACTCAAAAACTTTCCCATAAAATTGCGAGGGCAATTTCGCTCCTTTTTCTCTACTACAAAATTGCCAAGAATTTTGCATACTCGCAAACTGTCTTCGCGAAAATTCTTGAAATTCTGATTCTTAGATTCCCACTCTAGTGGCAATTATTATTGAAGGCTAATCTCGGAATGATTTCCAAAATCCAAGAAATGATTCCAAGGCTTTATTGCAAAATATTCTCATCCATAATTTACATGAACTCCCCACTGATGAACATTTCCGGGCCATGCTGACTGGCAAATTTCCCAAACATTTTCTGCAGACAGGCAGAGTTTCATAAAAATTTGTGCACACTCGAAAAAGTTTTGCTTGGAGGCGGTTTCTGATATTCTGCCAAAAATTAATAAGCAGTACAGCGGAATGTCTTCCAAAAATTGGAAAGATGTGCTTAAAATTTTTTTTTCTCAGAATCAGAAAATTGTAATGATTTATTTCAGCAGGTGAAAAATTTGTCTCAAGTATTAATAGGAGAAACGCCAACTTGTATCCATCAGCAGATAATTTTAACTGCCATTGCCTTTACGACATTTCCGATGAAGATAAAAGACTTGATTGCCACTTTTTTAGATATTTATTTATATGTTATCTGATTGAAACTTGAGTTTATTTTTTTGCATCCACGCTCGGATAACAATACTGAGCTGTACTTGCTGCTTCATCTTTTTTTTTCTCTATGAAAAAAAAAGTGGGGGGAAGGAAGGAAGGAAAGAGGTTCAATTCCGGTTCACCGGGCGTTGAATAATTCTGGACACGATACTTGTTCACGCGAAACGGAATCGCGGGGCTGAGATTTGATGGAATTTTCCTAGCAATTTTCAGGAATTATTTTCCCTCTTCCTCCCGGAAGGAAATCCGGGATTTTCCTTTTCCTAGGCTGCAAACTCGATTCCCTCCCTTCCTTGCGCACTTTCTCTCTCTTTTTTTTTTTTGGTGGACACATGGTCGACGTTGTCGACACCCTGTCGTCGACAGAACGTCACCCATTTCTCTCTCTTTTTGCGAGTGTGTGTGTGTGTGTTTATTCGAGGAAATACGTTCCGTTTTTCAACCTCGGGATTCGGACGACGTCCAATTTTCCGCGTCACCGGAACTTTCGACGGCACACGCGAAAACGAAACAATTCCCTTCTTCCTCCAACATGTCCTCGGATTATTATTCCTCAAAACTTATTTTTCTTATATTCAAAGAAAGCCGACGAGGACTCCATTTTCTTGTACAAAAACCACACTTTTTTTCTTTATCAAGATCGTCAAACTGAGCTTGAAAAAAAGATGCATCTGTCTACACTTACTTGGCTTTTAACCTCTTGAAGAAATGAGGTTTGAAATTTTTGAAAAAACATTTTTCATGACGCGAGCGCAGGAAAATCAAATGCAAACGCCTCAGTTTGAAAAAAAAATTTTGTGTGTGTGCTGAATTGTCAGGTAAAAATCACACGAATCATTCACTTTGAGACCAAACTTTACTGATTGAAGTAATAAAATTAGTGATTCCTGATACTGAATTGCGCAATTTTGAAACTTTTTCAATGAAAGTATCCGAATGATGTGAGAAGCAGAGTGAAGTTTGTCAATCAATTGAAATGATTCAAACTGATTTTTTTCAATCGCTTCAATTGCGTTGCCAGCAAATTTTTTTTCGTGAGAATACACCCAAAACCTGCGATCGACATTTTCTTTTACAGTGAATGAAATTTATATATATATTTTTTCAATAATAATCCTGGCACTAAAACTATTTGCTAAACATGCGCCAGAGAGACGAAAGGAGTATAATACATTATATGAGATTTGCACAGAAAGGAAAAACCCCTGACAGAGAGGGAGGAAGAATAAAATGGGACTTGTTCGAATCAATGCCCTCCACTTGACAATGCAGCGTCGTATTTCCTTTTTCTTTTCTTCTTTTTTTTGCTTCATTATCGAGTGGGGACAAAAAAGCCACATGGTGAAACAAAAGCGGGGGAAACTGGATGACAAGAATAAAGGAGAGACATCACATGGAACACAAAAGAAGAAGAAGGTCCCCAATTTCCGCTGGAGGCGCCAGTGATGATGAGAAAAAAGGGTCCGAGATTAAAAAAAAGAGAGGGGGGCACAACTACACTGCACTCCACAAAACCCCCATTTTCTCTCTCTTCATCATCGATCCCCACACACACACTCATCTTCCTCTTTTTGCTAAAAAAAACCTTTTCGAATTTTTTCTCTTTCTCTCCGTCTTTTCTTACCCTAACACCTCTTGACAGGAGATACGGCACGTTGATGGGCGTCACGAGGCTCGTGGACGCGGCGTCTCCGCCGCCGTCGACGGACGACCCCAGACTCGACGACGACGACGACGTGAACGAAGACCGGAACGAGAGTCGACTCTGTTGCTGCTGCTGCTGCTGGAGATGATGAAGATTGTGGGCGTTGTTGTGGAGCAAGAGGGGCCCGGAAGGCGGCAATTGGCCGCCACTGTGTTGCTGCTGCTGCTGGAACTGATGCGGCGACACTGACACCATGACTGAAGACGACGCCCGTCCCGAGTCCGAGGATGAAATCGAGTGGCGGCTGACTTGCGACAGGGACGCCGTTCCTCCGGCGGAATTGCTGCTGCTGCCAGAACTGCTCGGACTTTCTCGTCCCGGGCTCTGCGACATTCACAAAAGAATAATTGATGAAGAAACGATACCACAGCTCTTTTGAGCGAAACAAAAAATAAATTCATCAACTTTTCAAAGGGTGTAATTTCTGTCGCGGGTCGACTAGATGTCGCCCGCAGAAGAACCAAAGTACGACGCAACATACGAAAAGCCACGTTGTACAAGAAAACAAATTCGAGAAAAAACTAAAAAGAAATAAGAACAATTCAGGAGAATTCCGAAAACACAATGAATCCTGAAGATATTGATCTTCAGGAAACATTCCATCAAGTGAATCATCACTTCATCAAAGGAATTACGCAGAATTACAAACATAAAAAAATTAGTCACAACCCCAGTGAAAACCTTGAAGAAGCTTTCCACTTGGGAGGACCTGGACCTGTGCAAAATCATCAGAAGAAATCCTCAATCCTGCTCTGAACTTTGGAGAGAAAAGACCTGCTTTTGTGTGTGTGACATATTTTGGTTGGAAACATTTGTGGACTTGGATCTATGAACAGACATTGAGGAGTTTGAAACCCGCAGGCCGCAAATGGCCAATTGTGCTGATTAGTTTTTTTCACTATCAACAGATATCTTCTCAGGGACCCACCACAATTTCTGCAGTATAAATACATTGCCACAGTGCTCCTTCTTTTTTTCTTATGCCCACCATTCCACAGCTACAGAAATGAGCTTCAAAAACATTTGGGACTCAAATGAAGAGACGCTTTCAAAAATCTTAGAGGACCAAGATAAATTGTAAACTTTATATGATTTCTCATCAAAGATTCTCTCTGAATTGTTTAATCAACTAAAACTTGTCTGGGAGCAGGCTGAACACCTTGTGATTGAATTTGGATTCAGTAATTGCCTTATGCTGCAATTTGTATTACTGATATCTTGTTTTTATAATCAGGGAAGAACGTGTGCATATTTAAATCAGTTGTGCAATTGTACATTTTGGAATTTCTTTTATTTTCTTTGAGTAACCATATAAAGCTTATTTCTCTGATTTCTATTCTGATGTGATGGAATGTGTTTGGATGTATGTGGGTGGGGTGGGATGTTGGAATGTTGCTTGAACCTTGTGAATGCTGAATAGCAGGAAATAAAGTCTGCTCTTCAATTCAAAAGAAGAAACAAATATCAATCAATAAAACATTTGTGACTTGGAATTTAATCAGAATTTCTGATTGCCACAGAGGAAGAATTAGGCATGCAGTCTTATTCTGATATGCCTACTGAAAGTGGTCTGATTAAGAATAAGTGTATTTATTGAGTGTCATCCTTCAATTCTGCTAGCCAGGGAATGGTTTTGGAGCTATTTGACTAGTCTTCACCTTGAATATATATTTAGCTAGCTTTTTCTATTACAAAGCAATTGTGTTTGGAGTCTGATATATGCTGAATGCTGAGCACCATGCAAAGTAAACTGGTTATCATCTGCAATCTGGTTTTGTTTTATGATCTGATTGTTGCTTTGGTGGAATTTGATGGTGGATGATGGGAAAATAAGTCAGTCTCACTAAAAATTTTAATAAGGAACATTGTCCTCCATTTTCTCTTAAAATCATATCATGTAGTACATAGTATGGTTCTCTCAAGAGAACTTTCCGCGTACATTGCCTGCAAGCTGCGTTGTTATTGCTCCAGCAATGCAAATCCCTTTTGATTTGGAGATTTTTTGAAACACTCAAACAATTTACCAACAATTGTGAGTGAAAAACATTTATTATTCAATTTCATGAGGGTCTCGCTTTGGTGTTTGAATTGCCAATTTAAGATGTGCCATATAAGAAACATTATATTATGACCAGCTTTTGAAAGTTGATGCAAAAAAATCATATCAATTAAAGACTTATTGAATTGAAATGGAATTCAAATTTGTATTCTGATGTCTCTTATTTGTGAAAGATTTGAAACATTGGCACTTGATTATAGATATGGGAGCTTTACATGATTCAAGTGACATCTAGGATGCGGAAACATAAATCACATATTCAAGGACGTCAGGCCTTAAAAAACCCCACATTAATTTAAAATTGCTGTACATGAGAGGGGACGTCTACCAGTTGAAAGAATTGAAGAAAATAATAAAATGAAATGAAGACCACCCAATTAAGCCTCTCAACAATAAAAAAAGCCAGCTTTTGTACGTAGAAATCAAAATTTAAAAAAAATTTTCCACATGAATTTCGTAAAAAGAAATCTAATAAAAAGGACCAAGTGAATTGAGATTGAATTCATGTCCAAATTTGTATTTTGGTGTCGCTTATTCTTGAAAAATTTGAAACATTGGCACTTGAGTAAATGGGAAAGCTTTACTTGATTCAAGTGACATCTAGGATACGGCAAATTCAACCACATGTTTAAGAAAGAAAAAAATGATGAAATGAAATAAATACCACCCCAACCACTCAGCTTCTCGACAATCAACCATAAAACCACCGCCTCACCCTTTATAAAATTGCATCAACTGATCAATCATATCAATCAATCGACGAGGTCCAACCTCATTTCAAGGTCAACCCCCGCCGAAAAAATAAAGCACAAGTTATCGAACCGCGCTTTGATTTTTGCTTGACAGCCTAAAAAAAAGAAAAAAAAGAAAGGACGACGACAGAAGAGTGTGCGGCATTAAAGGAAATCGATGGCGGCGGTGGCGGCATCTTTTTCGCCGCGGCTGACGGACGACGGCCTTTTATTTATTTTTTTTTAGCAAGCAGGCAGTCAGTCAGTCACGAAGGAGGAAAACAGCGTTGAATAATACGACAGATATACCTGGGTGAGATCGATGCCCTGGTCCTCCAGGGACCCCTGGTGCAGGTTGTGGATGTGGTGCTGCTGGTCGACGAACCCTCGGCCCGAGTTGTTGGCGGACATTGTCGCGTTGGGCGCGGTATTGGTTGTGATGATGGTGGCCGCCGCCGTGGGCGTGGACGACGACGACGACGACGACGGAGGCGCCGCCGCCGCCGCCAATCTGCAGCTCATCATCGGCTCGCACGACAGCCGACTCTGCACACCGCCGCCACAACACCACATCGGAGACGAAAAAAACAAAAGAAGAAGAAACGCTCACTCGAGTCACTCGTCTCTCATCATCATTGACATCATCATCATCACTATATCAAATCAAAGCCAATTGAGGTGGTCAATCTCATCAAAACAAGAAAAGATTCTTCTTCCAAAGAAACCAGAAGGAATTTTTGTTTTCAACTGGTCCGTTATAGAAACAACTTGCTGCCTATCGAACCCATTTTTCCAGATCTTTGAAATCTAGCGAGAAAAAATAAAATAAAGAAAAGCTCAGTCGTATCACTTGTCTCTCATTACAGCCATCGTTAACATAATCATTTTAACATCAGAACCAGTTCAGGTCAATTTCGTCGAAACAAGCAAAGCTTTCTCAAATTCGTCTCCCGAAGGAATCAACAAGAAAATGTCAGAAACCTGGTCGTTGTAAAGAATACTTTCCCACCAGTCAATCTTCCTTTTTTTTTCCAGATTTTGAAATCAGCGGAACAAATGGAACCCCCCCACTCCATCATTTGTCTTTCAACATCATAATCATAATTGTCAAATCAGAGCAAGTTCAGGTCAATTTTGCCAAAACGAGAAAACGCCGCCAATCTGCAGCTCATCATCGGCTCGCACGACAGCCGACTCTGCACACCGCCGCCACAACACCACATCGGAGACGAAAAAAACAAAAGAAGAAGAAACGCTCACTCGAGTCACTCGTCTCTCGTCATCATTGTCATCATCATCATCACTAAATCAAATCAAAGCCAGTTGAGGTGGTCAATCTCATCAAAACAAGAAAAGATTCGTTTTCCAAAGAAACCAGAAGGAATTTTTGTTTTCAACTGGTCGTTATAGAAACAACTTGCCGCCTATCGAACCCATTTTTCCAGATCTTTGAAATCTAGCGAAAAAAAATAAAGAAACGCTCAGTCGTATCACTTGTCTCTCATTACAGCCATCATTAACATAATCACTTTAACATCAGAACCAGTTCAGGTCAATTTTGTCAAAACAAGCAAAGCTTTCTCAAATTCGTCTCCCGAAGGAATCAACAAGAAAATGTCAGAAACCTGGTCGTTGTAAAGAATACTTTCCCACCAGTCAATCTTCCAAAAAAAAGGTCTAAAACTTTAGTCGCCTTGTTTACCTTGGGGGGGTGAGGTAGTAAACAGAAAGTTGTAGTATTAGTATTAACAGTTTAGTCTCGTTCAAGTCCAGTTAAAACGGTTTTGCTCTTTAACTAGGAAAAATTTCGTACAAAGAAGCACAACAGAAAAGTACGCTCTCTTTATAACGATGTTGTCTACAACGATTTCCTCTGCATAACAAATTATTATTATTTTTTTGTTTCATGGGGTTCCTGTCCCATGTTACAGGGTTCTCTATAAAATCTAAATTTAAGGAACCAACCACAAAAAAATCGTTGTAGAGAGAGAATTTCGTTTTAGAGATACAGTATATCAATTATATCAGAAATCTGGAGTTCATAAGAACAACTTCCCGCGAAAATTCTGCCTTTTTCATCAGACTTTGAAATCAGCGAAAAATTCTAATTTTCCAAAATGAGATACTGTACAATATTGCCCAGGGGAAAAGAAAGAAGGGTTCTCATGATATTCGTTGTTCACCTGTGTTCAAGAACCTTCAATCTTCTTGAAAAGCACCTAATTTTACCCCCCTCCCCCCACATTATTCTACTGACATTTCAATAACCCCAGGAATTTTTGGCAAAAGGGTTGGAAAATAAAGTCCCTTAAACACGCAACAGGAAACAAGAACAACAAGAGCATGTAAGAGCGACACCTGTGCACAATAACCATAAAACAATGGCTGTTGGGACACAATTGGACGTCGTCTGCACGAAATTTATCGAGAAAAATGGCAAGCGGAAAAGCAAAAATGAAGTGCCAGAAATATGTTGAAAAATACTGTAACGCACAATAAAGAAAAAAATAGGACTACACGCAAAAAGAAAAAAAAAACAATCCCTTATCCTTCGCCTCCTTCAACTTTTTGAAACCAAAGTTCAGAAGCATTCGCCGTAAGGAATTTCCCCCTTTTACTCGTTTCCGCACTTCCGACGCCATTCGTCTTCTTCGTCCCTCTTCACCCAAGTATTTTTTTTTTTCGAGTGGAAATTTTGTTTTACTAAAAGGTCAACTTTTCGAACGACACACGAGTGGCGAAAGAAAACTTTTTTTCTTTTTTCGTGACCTGGAGTATCACTGACGGGATTTTAAAAAAAAAGTAAGAGAGAAAGAGAGAAGAAAACGGGTCACGGAGGGGCTTTTTGACCTTGGAAGTGGTCGAGATCTCACGACTCGTCGACAACGGACACTTATTTCTCCATCATAATTCCAATCACGCCTTCAACAGCAAAAAATATATATATAAATAAAATAAATAAACACACGAGGTGCGATTTAAACGAAAGAAACAGGAATTCGTTGACAAAATTTGGGCCTACACATTGGCCCTCGAAGTGGTCGAAATTACAAGTGATGAACTACAAGTTTTCCGAGTTCTACAAAATTAATTTGTATACTTTGGAAAAATCTCTCTAAACAAAAAGGGGGACGTCAGTAAGAATACATTTACCATAATTGAAAACCATCTTTAGTTCTTCTCAAGTGAAACCAGTGCTTCACTGATTTTCGCACCCCAAAAATGGCATTGAAAAAAATCAGCTCCAGTCAAGCTAATTATGAGTTTTGATTCCCCTTCCTCACAGTCGTCAGAATGGAAAGACTTGAAAAAGTTTGCAAAAATTACGTACTGAACATTGAACCATAAAAAAACAGGCAAGTCTTGCACACAATTGACGAATATGATGAACCGAACCCTCATAATTCCAACCTTTTGCATTCCTTCACAATAAAAATATTCAGAAATTCAAGTCGCCTGGTTCTGGGACACACTCATACACATATTTTCCTTCTCAAAGGCATGAATGAATGAATGGCTGCATTCCATCATCAAATGTCCTATTCCACTCACACAAAAAAAAGCACGTGTCAAGAGGAAACAATGAGACTTTCCAGAAGAGCGGAAGAGGACATATTTGAAACCGTCAGCCATCCATAGCCTCTCTCTCTCTCTCTTTATTATTTTTTTTCACACGTCTGCATTTATTTATTCATTTAGTTATTTACCCACTCTCCGTCTGAGGTCTTTTTCCAAACACATTCCTGGGGAGGAAAAGGTCAAAGGTGGATGAGACACGATGATGACGATAAGTAAGAAGAGGATCTTCTTCTTCTCCTAAGTCATGTGCTCGTCTCCACTCCTTTGTAGTAAGAACGGAAGGTGTGACGAACATGTTTGTACCCCGGTGTTTTTCGTAAAGGACCAGTGGTGCTGCCTTGTTTTCCCCTGGGGGGGAGGGAACCCACTTGGTGTCTTTCATTTCATTTTATTTTTATGTGTCAAATCCAACCAGAAGAAAAAATAAGGGGGAAGAGGAACACGTATTTCTACACCATTGGGACAAAAATTTCTCTAAAACTTTTGGCAATGCGTCAGAACTTCAAAAAAATTTCAATTGATTTCCCCCAGTATTTTCTTTCTTGAAAAAAAAAATCCCGCGTTTCGTGGCATTTTTCTTCGCCATATTCCCCTTCAATCCAAGCAAATTCCTCTTCAGTACGTCAAGTACCGAGTCGAATAAAATATAGTACTGTACTGTATATGAAGAACATCATCATTCGCTCGGGAATCACTTCTCGGATATTCCATTAAAAAAAAACAGGTGTGGTTCCAACACTTTGGCCAAGTGCGAGAAATAAACTAAAAGTTATCCCCAGAAAATTGAAAAAAATTATTCTCAATAAATATTTCAGACTGAGTTCGACTTTCAACCGAGTTATTTATTGTTTCGATAAAAAAAAAATCAGAAGATGATCAATGAAAGATTGCAAAATTATTCACGAGCTAAATTTAAAAAATGCACACACAACATTCGAGTTAATCGTTCTTTTTGACGCCATTTTCGGTTCGCAGATTGTTTTTATTCCGGTTTCCAATCGATTCATCCTTTTTTCTTTCAAACATCTAGTAAACCTTGAATAGTTGCCAAAAGACAATTTCTAAATTTCTAAATAACTCGAAAATTAGTCGGGTGACGAGAAAAGATATTCACTGCAATATTCACCACAAAAAAAATTATCACATCACCCCATATAAGAAATAAATCATAAAAAAAGAAAATGACCTTCACGCGAAACCACCTTAAGGTTCTCCACTTTCCTCCTTGCGCAAAAAATCGACCAAACCTTCCAGAAATATGACCCATTGAAAACCATCTTCAGATACGATAAACTTGTCTCCGCATACTTACACACAAAACTCGTACACTTAGACACGCAGAAAAAAAAAAGCCGTCTCGGATTTCAGTATATATACAAGACCAGTCCACAGTGTTGCCAACAACTGAAACGAAATCGTTGCTCATTCTCCACATATATGCACACACAAACAAAGTCAGTCAGTCATCAAATTTCATTCTCGACGTGGGGGGAAAAACGTCCCACTTTTTTTTCCCCACTCCCCCCTCGAAAACTAAATTTCCGACTTGTCATCACCCCTCGGTTATCATGACGTG